GACACGGTGATTTACAAAATTAATGCTTATTAATCTTGCATTATTTTTAACTGTGATGTGGCGTAGCAGCGCCCTTGTACGTACACAGTGAGTGAACTGTTACAGGTTAATTTCACAGGCTGTGATGTGTGACTTGACAGCAACAGTATTGCCTGAGGTGCTTTATATTCTGTACATGTGAGCTTGTATTAACGTGTCCCCCGCATTCATGCAGAAGTGATAAACCAGCCTAGGCATGCAAGTGGGATTTCACAGACATTGTCACTTTGAAGCTTCCGGAATATTGCTACATAATGGTTAATTGATTGATAAATTGAAGGTTGTGAGAAGTAGACGTCCTGTTGCCCTAGCCTCAGCACGGTCGACCTTCAACGCAGTATACACCGTAGACCGTTTCTTCTTGCAGCGATCAACGTGGTGCTCCTTTGTGTCTCCAGCAAATTCCCGCTGTCGCACGCAACGTTAAGCAGCCTGTACAAGAGATTCGGGCGCTTCTGTCCCACACGGCCCATCGTACCTCGTCGGCTGCAAGAGTGGTCTCAGGCACATGTGGAAGGATGAGCAGCCTACAGCTTTCACCCACAAGCGTGGACCTTTAATCAGGTAGCCATATATAGTATGGGCTGGTAGTATACTGACTTTGGATGGATGGGCTGACAGACAAAGCCTGGGACACTAATCGGGTAGCAAGTATAGTAGTAGTGATGGTATATACTGACTTGGATGGATGGGCTGACAGACAAAGCTGGACCACTAAATCGGGTCAGCACATATAGTAGTGAGGTGATGGTAGTTATAGCTGCACTTGGCATGGATGGGCTGACAGACAAAGCTGGGAACCACTAATCAGGTAGCATATAGTAGTAGTGCTGTAGCTTAACTCGCACTTGGATGGATGGCGACAGACAAAGCTGGGACCACTATCAGGTAGGCATATGTAGTAGTGATGGTAGTATACCTGCACTTGGATGGATGGGCTGACAGACAAAGCTGGACCACTAATGCGGTAGCATAGTAGTAGCATGGTAGTATAACTGGACTTGATGGATGGCTGGACAGACAAAGCTGCGACCCACTAATCGGGTAGCATATAGTAGTAGCTGGCTGGTAGTATCTGCACTTGGTATGGATGCGGCTGACAGACAAAGCTGGCGACCACTAATCGGTAGCATATAGTAGTAGTGCTGGTAGTATACTGCATTGGATGGATGGGCTGAACGACAAAGCTGGGACACTAATCAGGTACGCATATAGTAGTAGTGATTGGTAAGTATAATATTCTATTGGATGGATCGACGGGGGGGGAACCCAGACAGACAAAGCTGGGACCTCTAGAGTTGGGTAGCGGCCAAGCCCTTACCCTTGATGAGAAAACAATTAACACAATTAAATTTCTGTGTTCAGTCAAACCGTATATCTAAAGGTCGAAACCTATAATATAGACTGATAGATGAGGAAATACTAAAAATAAATGTGCCAGGCCCAATTAAAATTTTGTTTACTCTCCCACCCGACCAGGCGGAAAGTTGAGTAGGTAGGTTAAATTTTTTTGGAGGGGGTCTTTTTACAATATTCAGCAGGTGTCTACATTGCTCGAGGTGGTTGTGTGGAGTTACCTTGTTATGTTGAATGTTTGTTTTTGCTTCGCCGTAACATAATCAAGAGCATATAAAGAAGGAGAGCGTGCAACGGTAAAATGCTGAACCAGTGTTGCAGTATTAGTCGAATTTAATAAACTTTTCCTGTGTTATTTTTGATATTTCCCTTGCATATTTCTTGATCAGCTGTTCTACCTTGTTCATATAAAACAACCGCATTGTCCCTCGATGCCATACGCTAGATAATTGAGCGGGGGCGGCTACTCTAGAATTGATGAATTTCTGGGGTGTCCGGATCCCCACCTTATTATTTAATTGATTATTAATTAAAAAAAATCTCAGTGGAGCATGCTCCTCCCGAAGCAACCATCTTGAGCTGCCCTGGCCGCGAGGCTCCCATGCGTCTCTCGTCTGCTCTAGCTTCCCTGTATACAGTCCATCAACTCGCCGACTATGTTTCTGATATATCGTCCACATCGCCATTCGTATCTCGCCGCCGGCCACACCCTCTTTGACGCTGCCTTTCCGTCCACCGTGTCCGGTTTTCTTCGTTCCACCCCTCGCGTGTCTCTCCGCCAGTCCTCCTCCTCCCTTCCTCCACGTCTTTCCCACTGCTCCTCTACGCCACGCTCGTCCTAAAATCTGTATTTTGTTATTTAAAAGTGTTATAACTGGTAAACTTCGGTGTTTCCTTTCAATGATTGACAAAATGGAGATGAATGATCGTCTTGGTATTATTGGATTCATAGTGATGACCCCACCTGTGACCACCTCCCACGACCACTTCACGGCTGGATGTATTAGTAAATAACTCTAGCCTGTAGATATCGTTGCATCGTCAGTACCGACACTAATGACTGTGAACTACACAGCCGCCATCCTCTACCGGGGGACGCAACACCTCACTCTCCACCACGTGTCGAGACGAGGGTCGCAGTATTGACTTACATTGTGTCGTTACGTTGGCTGTTTCCATCGAACATCCCAGATTCCTTTTCACGGCCTCCTCTATCGTCATGCGCTCATGGTGCATCAAGGGACTACTGCCCGTTTGTGTTTATATAACCGAACTGGGTAGAGACAGCTGATCACATATACTGCAAAGAATCGTCAAAATTAAAACACGGGGAAAAGTTTTATTAATTTCGACTAATACGCAACATGTCTCAGGCATTTTACCGTTGTATGCTTCCTTCTTTATTTATGCTCTTGACATAATGTATTGCACAGAATTTATATAATGTTACAGTGATACAATTTGGTAAAAAAAAAGAATGGGAATGATTAAATAAGAGTTTGAGTCGGCCTCTTTTTTGGCGGGCTCGTTCGGGTAAGGCAACACAAACATATATTTCACTTATGGCCCCATTTGCTAGATAGTCGTCCATGCTATCGAATCATAATAAAAGCCGAAGGCGACGTGTCTGCTAACACAAGTTTGGCTAGTGAGGCAACGGGTTTGACTTATACATTCTCATGTGTTTCGACCATAGCATTTAACTATATGTGTTGATTGCAGCATTCACATGTTGTGGATTGCAGCCATTCGTTCATATATTTGATTGCAGCATTCACCATGTTTTTGATGCAGATTCTTTATGTGTTTGACCTAGCAATTTAACCTGTTTGACATGCATTTAACTTGTGTGACCTATTAATTAACGTGTTGACCGTGGAGAGTCAGTGTGTTTGATCGGCGTGGTTTCTGTTCATTGTTGCTCACAGCGTGTCCGGGGAGGCGACATACTCCTCCGAGCAGGGAAGGATTTCCGGGTGCCCGAACGAGATATGGCACCGATATTACTGAAACGAGCGCATTACACGATGTTTGGGTGCACACCCTATTTGAGAGAATCGATACGTGCGGCTTGTTGTAGTTCAGCGAACGTCACGGATCCTCATGTCGGCTCTGAAAACGAGTGGCGAATCCGTGGACAGGTATACCATCCCTCACATGGTATATCTGTATGGGATAGCAAACCCTGTAGCCTTAGGAATCTTGAGTTTATCGACTTCAAAATCTCAGCCTTAGCTTGACGAGAGGAAGTGCCATGTGAATCAATGAGATGACCCGCTGAGAATCAAGATTCAGAGGATAAGTTACAGGTTGTAAGTGTACTATACTAAATGAATCTGTCCATGTGTAAAGCATTTCTCTATGAATATTTGCCATCTCTTGTGTAAAGAGTTAGTATAATTTTATATCTTGTACCGTAATTCAAATATAAATAATGTCTATTAACCTGAACGTAGAATATCATAATTCGTCATGAAATTATCACAGGAGTACATGTGCATTATACTAATGTAGTTCTGCTAATTATTTGCAGGTGCCGTTCGTGCCTCCCAAAGGCCTCAGGCTAAGACTGTCCGTATCCCAGAGGATTCGGATGCGCTCACCGACATCTACGCGCCGCATGCCTCTATGAACACAAGCCTACTGTGACGTTCCTGTTCCTCGACAGGAACCGCCATCCCCGCTCACGCTTTCTCCTTCGCCGGCCTTCGTGCCAGACATTCTACGAATCTGTTCACGATCGATATATCGACGTTCTTCCCGCAGGCGTTTGGGTGCATTACTGTGCGCGCGTCGTCCCCCATCGTTCTGTCACAAGTGTCAACTCGACAATGAGCAGCTGATAGAGAGGACCAGCATTCACAGACGGAGTCTGACGCATCGTGCTACGCAGGGATTCAGCGCGTCGCTGTACGGAAGATAGTCAAATCATCCTGCTTTCGAGGAGATGAGTGAAGAAATTATGACCGTCGTGACCATGGGTTTCGGTTGATCTGAATACTACTTCTCTGAAAACAGCTTAAGTTGATCAATATTTTGCCAACTAATCAACGGCAGCTTGTGTGATATAATAAATAACCCGTGCATTCTGTTAGGAATGTCTATTTTCAAATTACCATTCGCTTCATTTCTTTGATGATTTTACCTGATAAACGGTGGATGTCACGAAAATAGTCCTGTGTGTAAAGCCAATGGACACATGAACTACTCACTGTTTGCTGACGATGTTCTATTTTCGCCTGAAATCAGCGTGCGATACAGCGTCGACGTTCCAGCATAGCAAATCTCCATCTAGTTCTAACGTATGAACGCCGACAATTGCTCCGCAGCCGCGAAATATTCAGCATCTGTGTCTGCTACCCTCGTTACCTCGGTGACGTGCGGAGAACCTGCAAGCGCGCTCCACACGAACCGCAAGGCTAGCCTCCGGCTCCGAGAGACCCGGCCAGCTCCACGTAACCTGCTGAACATACTGAACTGTCGTCTTCCATGGTTCGCCGCCAACAGTGCACAACGAGAAAGTCCTCAATCTATCCATAAATAGACTCGCTTCCTGGAAAAACAAAAAGGGACAGTTGCCCCGCGGCGCAGCTCCAAATTGCTGGTTGAGAACCACTTCTCTGTACCGGCGCGTGGTCTCGCATTAAACTCTAGTGCATGAATACTTTAGATCAGCCAATAGTCGATCGAATTAACCTAAAAAGTCACATGTAACTTGCACCTAAATGCCCACGATCACTATTCGTGGTAACTGGCTTAGCGGTATGTGTTAATATTATATTTTTTTAATGTTAGCTGTTGACTGCATTATTGCAGATATACTTGGATATTAATTTGTACTCACACGGTTCAAAATATAATTAATTTATCTAATCAAGTACGCACCTCTAGCCACCGAGCAACGTTGCAGAGGTCATCAAGATTTGGCAAAGTTCGCTGCAGATGATATTAGTACTATGATGGGCACCAATATATAAATTAACTCTTCGAGTCTCTCATTTCTTCACAGATTCACGTTTCAGTTGCGCTCATGATCGCCGGTAACGTCTATGTGCACACGGCTCTGCTAATGGTTCGTCTGTGACATGATGATGCAATGCTATCGTGGCACTTCAAAGAACGACAGGAGAAATGTAGGATCCATGGACTATAAATCATTCTTTGATTTTCTTTCATTTATATTTTTTCCTAGTTTCATCTCACGATCCTAGAAATGTGACTAGTCTGGGCAGACAAGACAGTTATTGCACTTCAGTTTAATTTATCAAAAAAGTTAGATGTCTTTGCCAATTTGCTTTAATACTGTGCGTGTCCTCTCAGTATAAACAATCTTCAGATTCCTCGTAATTATGCGTTGACTCTTTTTATAATGGCATACCCGTCGCTCGCTGAGGTGCATTGTGTGTTCAACGATCCTCCTCGCGCTCGCCACAGCCGCTGTGGACCTCGCCTCTCGTTACCGAGCGTTTCTGCGAGACATATATACAGAACAGCATAATCATCGGTGGTGCGTCCTGGACGCGTTTTAGAGCTGATGGCTCGCCAACAGGGTCGCCGCAAAACGCCGCAGCCAGCCGTCGCTCGTCTTGCTCACAGCCCTAGCCGCGCTCATCGAGCAGCGGTGACTGCGTGAGGCTGGAGGAGCCGCCATATCTCGGGAGGATGAGGAGGGACCGTTCACCGCAATCTCGTCACGTTGCTCGAACTGCCACAGGTACTGCCGGCACTAATCAGCAGGAATTTAGGATGCAGCAGTAATGCGCCCGCAAGTAGCCGGCGAGAGCTCTACCGTCTGGGGCCGCAGCCAACGCCGGGTGAAATGCGATAGCTGAAGTGTCATTCGGCCATAATCGTAGTTGTTGTCACGACAGTATCGCCTCTTCTTTATCGTGACAGGTAGTGGACTTAGAAAATGTTCTGATAAGCGCATGCCATGAACACGTGAATAAATGATGCATAAGGATTGGTTAGTCAAAGACCTTTAAGAAGTATGGCACTTGTCGCTTACCTGAGACCGCCGATAAAGTGATGACTACTTATAAACATTTGGCCACCAAGCATATTTCTAGATAATTTCTGTTTCAAAATTATGGTCTTTGATTCTGCCTTTTTTAAATCTGGTCACCTCTGGTCCCGTCCACGTAGATGACAGCCTGAATGCCACTTTTACTCTATGCGTCCAAGTGATGGGAGCTCGAGAAGTTGTCAAGCCAGTAACTGTCACAGTCACACAGTAGTAGGACTGCGTTTTTAGCTCAGTCCTGACAGCCGAGTGGCAGCATGGCAGTATATTTCCGCTGCGTACGCCCGTGTGCCGCTGCTGCTAGCCACGCCGCAGCCGCAGCCGCCGCACGCCTACGCCGCCCGTCCATGCGTAGTCGTGCGTTTTAGCACGCCGCGAGCCACGCCGCTGGTAGTATGACGTGAGTCAGCGCCACTATGGCGCTACACAGCGGCGACCGGAAGCAACACACTGGCCACACTTCGAGAGAGGGTTGCAGTATTAACTAATGTCTAGTCGGTGTTCAGCGAAAATACCAGATTTTCACCGCTCATTATCTCAGCGTATGTGCATCGTAGGGACATGTGGTTTGTTTTATATTAACAAGGTAGGACAGCTGATCAATAATACTGTAAAGAATCGTCAAAATAACACGGGGAAAGTTTATTAATTCGACTAATACTGCAACATGGTTTCAGCATTTTACCGTTGTATGCTTTCCTTCTTTATATGCTCTTGACATAATGTATTGCCTACAGATTTATATAATGTACAGTGATACAATTTGTAAAAAAAGAAAGAATGGGAATGATTAATAAAAATGTTTGAGTCGGCCTCTTTTTGGCGGGTCGGTCGGGTAAGGGCAAACAAACAATATTTCATTATGGCCCCATTTGTAGATAGTTGTCCATTCTATCGAGGGGGTGTCTGCTAACACAAGTTTGGGCCTAGTGAGCAACGTGTTTGACTATAGCATTCATCATGTGTTTGACCATAGCATTTAACATATGTTTGATTGCAGCATTCACCATGTTTGATTGCAGCATTCTTCATATATTTGATTGCAGCATTCACCATGTATTTGATTGCAGCATTCTCCATATATTTGATTGCAGCATTCTTCATATATTTGATTGCAGCATTCACCATGTTTGATTGCAGCATTCTTTATGTGTTTGACCATAGCATTTAACCTGTTTGACCATGGCATTTAACTTGTGTGACCGTATTAATTAACGTGTTTGACCGTGAGAGTCAGTGTGTTTGATCGGCGTGTTTCTGTTCATTGTTGCTCACAGGCGTGTCCGGGAGGCAGACATACTCCTTCCCGAGCAGGGAAGACTGGTTGCGAACGAGATAGGTGCACCGTATTACGAGACCAGCGCATACACGATGTTTGGCGTGCACACCCTATTTGAGAACATCGTTCGTGCGGCGTTGTGTAGTCAGCGACGTCACGGATTCCTCATGTCGCATCTGAAACGAGTGCAGAATCCGTGGATACAGGTATACATGCTCACATTGTAGTATCTGTATGGGATAGCAAACCCTGTAGACCTAGGAATCTTGATTTTATCGACTGCAAAATTCACCTTGCTTTGACGGAATGCCATGTGAATCAATTGAGATGCCCGTGAGAATCAAGGTTCAAAGGATAAGTTACAGTTGTAATGTACAACATGATTGTCATGTGTAAAGCATTTTCTCTAGAATTTCCCATCTCTTGTGTAAAGAGTTATGTATAATTTTATATCTTGTAACCGTAATTCAAATATAATAATGTCATTAACCTGAACTAGAACTTTTTCATGAAATTATCACAAGTAATGTGCTTAACTAATGTAGTTGTGCTAATTTATTTCCAGGTGCCGTTCTGTCCTCCCAAGCCTGAAGCTAAGACTGTCGTGATCCCCAAGGATTCGTTGCTCACCGACGATCTACGCATGCTCTATGAACACAAGCCTTACTGTGACGTTCTGTTCCTCGCACAGGGAACGCCCATCCCCGCTCACCGCTTTCTCCTCGCCGCCTCGTGCCAGACCTTCTACGATCTGTTCACGATCGATCTATCCGACGTTCTTCCCGAGGCGTTTGTGCAGACGTGCGCGCGTCCGTCCCCCATCGTCTGTCACAAGTTCAACTCGGACAAGGAGCAGCTGATAGAGAGTGACAGCAGTTCACAGACGGAGTCTGACGCATCGTCTACGCAGGGATTCAGCGCGCTCGCTGTACGGAAGATAGTCAATCATCCTGCTTTCGAGGAGATTGAGGTGAAGAAATTATGACCGTCGTGACCATGGGTTTCGGTTATCTGAATACTATTCTCTGAGAACAGCTTAAGTTGATCAATATTTTGCGCCAACTAATCAACGCAGCTTGTTGATATAATAAATTAACCGTGCCATTCTGTTAGATGTCTATTTTCAAATTACCATTCGCTTCATTCTTTGATGATTTTACCTGATAAACGGGTGTCACGAAATAGGTCCTGTGTGTAAAACCAATTGGAACATGAACTATATTTGCTGAGATGTTTATTTTCGCTGAAATCCAGGTGCGATACAGCGTCGACGTTCCCATAGCAAATCTCCATCTAGTCATAACGTTGAACGACGTTCTCAGCGCGGAAATATTCAGCATGTGTCTGGCATACCTTTACCTCGGTGACGTGCGGAAACCTGCAAGCGCTCACACGATGTCTCGGCTCGAGAAGGCCGCGTACCTGCTGAACATAACTGAACTGTCGTCTTCCATTGAGAACATGCACAACCGAGAAGAGTTCCTCAATCTATCCATAAAGACTCGCTTCCTGGAAAAACAAAAGGAACAGTTGCGGCAGCTCTGTCTGGTTGAGAACCACTTCTCTGGTACGGGTGGTTCTCGGCATTAAACTCTAATGCATGAACTTTAACTCAGAATAGTATCAATTAATAAATATCACATGTAACTTGCATTAAATGCACGATCCACTATTCTGTAACTGGCTTTAGGGCGTATGTGTTAATATTATATTTTTTTAAATGTTAGCTGTTTGAGTGCATATTGCAGATATATTGATATATATTTTGTACTTCAGCAGTTCAAAATATAATTAATTTATTAATCAAGTAATTCAAGTATGATTTGCAAAGTTTGCAGATGTATATACTATGATGGGCACCAATTATATAAATTAACATTTGGTTTGTGCTTCACAGATATCACGTTTCAGTTGGATGATGGTACTTGTTGTGCACACAGGGCTCTGCTCATGGTTCGTTGTGACATGATGGATGCAATGCTAGGTGGCACTTTCAAAGAACGACAGGAGAAATTGGTAGGCATCCATGGACTATAAATCATTCTTTTGATTTCATTTTCATTATATTTTTCCTAGTTTCATCCTCACGTCCTAAAATTGACTAGTCTGGGCAGACAAGACAGTTTTTGCATTCAGTTTTAATTTATCAAAAGTAGATGGTCTTTGCAATTTTTGCTGTTAATACTGTTGCTGTCATGTTGTATAAACAATTTCAGATTTTGATAATTATGCTTGAATCTTTTTATTGTCACGTGTCTGTGCGCATGTGTGTTCAAGATCCCTCTGCCTGGTGTGGACCTCGCTTGCTTCCGAGCGTTTCTGGAGTACATATATACAGACAGCATATCATCGGTGGGCGTCCTGGAGCCGGTAGAGCTGATGGCCCTCGCCAACAGGTTGTGTCTGCCTCACCTGCTCGCTCTCATCGAGCAGGCGGTGACGCGTGAGCTGGGAGCCGCCATATTGGGAGATGAGAGGGACGTCACCGAGGATCTCGTCACGTTGCTCGAACCTGCACAGGTATGCCGGCACTAGCAGCAGAATTAGGTGCAGAGTAAGGTGCGCGAAATAGGCGAGAGTCTACGTCGCGGACGCGCGGGTAAATGCGTAAGTGAAGTTATTTGCCATAATCGTGTTGTCACGACACGTATCGCCTCTGCTTTATCGTGACAGGTTGGGAACTTAGAAAATGTTCTGATTAAGCGATGAACACGTGATAATGTGCATAAGGATTGGTTATCAAAGACCTTTAAGGTATGCACTTGTTTACCTGAGACCCGATAAAGTGATGACTACTTATAACATGGCCACCAAGCATTTTCTAAGAAATTTCTGTTTCAAATTATGGTCTATTGATTCTTGCCTTTTAATCTTGGTCACCTCTGGTCCCGTCCCGTAGCATGACAGCCGTGAATGCCATTTTACTCTATGGTCCAATGATGGAGTGAAAGTTGTCAGTACTGTCACAGTCACACAGTAAGTAGATCATGCGTTTTTAGCTCATCTGACGATGGCAGATGCAGCTTGTACAATCGCATGATTGTTCGTGCGTGTGTGCATCTGTCCGTCCATGCGTTCGTGCGTGCGTCCGTCAACAGTTGGGTACAAATCTAAACGGCTCGACGTACGGATTTGAAAGTCGGGACGTGGGGTGGGGGGGGGGGGGGTAATCCGAAAAACTCCGAGTTGGATGTCGAAGCTGGGGGTCAAGGTCAAGAGGTGTAAAAGAAGGGGGAACATTCCCTCTTTAACTTAAGGTATAGGGAGGAATGCAGAATTGCGGCACAAATCTAAATGGCTCGACCTAGGCTCGTGATAGTCGGTGTATGCATCATGGGTAGAAAAGCCATCACTGTGCCTAGATGGAGGCCAAAGGTCAATGGGGCACAGGGTTTACTAGAATCCCACCACTCCACCACAGAGTCACCGCAGTAGACGTTAGATGAGCGCTGTCGCTCCGCGGCACTTGTTATGGCTTTATTGAAAGGACCATGAAATGTACTTTCCGCTGACATGCGAAGAGTAAGTGTCGGGTAACCTTTTGACAATTCAAGAGGAGGGTTAAACATTGATTTGTTGACTGTTAACAAAGGACTGAACTGCTTTTGCTATTATTAGAGCCCATACCTGTGTGAATGTGAGGCTACAGTTGCACAATTGAATTCGAAAGGCAAATGTTTGTTTAACAAGGTTTACGCTCCTTAAATCATATTATGTTCTAAAGAAGTCTGTTTATAGCACCCTGAAGGCTGAATCAGTGAATGCTCGTGTGGGTAGGCAAAAACACGGGGCAGCCCATTGCTGGCACGCTTCTAATCATAATTGTTGCCTGCCAACCTGCAATGCACATGTGTCTGCAATGCATAGAGATTAGGTGGGTTCGAAAGTGTAGCTGATATATTTGTTCGAATTGGCTACGAAAGTCAAACAAGAATAAAGAAGACTTATGTATAAGACGTCTTGCTATGCACAAATGAATTTATCAGCAGAACACCAGACACCAGATGAGCCCTGTCGCACTGCGGCACTTGTTAATTAATATAATGCTTGTTGTTGCTTCAATTTAGCTGCACAATGCCAAGCAGCTGGCAAGATGGTGTCTCGTTCAACTCTCTATCAAGTACAACGAACTGACAAGGTACAACAAGAAGGCATTACATAGTCTACGGCCAGGAAATCTCGCATATCTCAACCTCAATCGGTGGCCACCTGTCTGGTATGCTTATTCTGCTTCTTGAAATAAAATTATTGTGCAGATAATAACCATACATGCGCACACGTTTGTAGGCATGAAACACACATACACACGCATGTGTGCATGCACACTTGCTGTTTTCTTGCGCGTGTCTCAAATGAGGTTTTCTGAAGAGATGTTATGTGGCTATGAAGGCTGTTTTTCTACATGTATCTGAGTAATGGTTGCTAGGTTCAAAGGCTGTTTTCTTGCATGGATTTCAATGAGGTTTGCTTGGTACAGGAAGAGCATTTTATCTTGTAGGTATCTCAATGAGGTAGAGCACTATCAGAAATGCATGCGGGACAATGCAGCACTGAAGCTTAAGCTCTCCAAGCATCGCTCTGGCAGTGGCTGCCTGTGCTTCCATAAAGGCAAGTACCGCAGACGAAACTAACTTGCTCACTGACTTCGACAATTGAGAGATATTTGTCGGAGCTATTTAGCTTCCATAACAGTTCAAGTGTATGTATTCAGATGCTACATTATATTGATGACATTAACATATGACACAACGGAGCTTTTCCATCTTGTAAAATTATTGGACAGCTAGAAATTGAATAGCTGTGTATATAGAAGATCAGAACTTTTGGTATAACATTGCTTATGATTAGTCAAAACTGATCAAATGAAGGTTTTCTGGTCAGATAATGCATAAATCATATTTAATTGGGTTGTTGTCTCCAGTAAATAGCTTGTGACATTGTTTTTCTGTGTGTAACACGTACCAGACTGTATAGCAAGGAAACATTAGGTGGAAATTAATTGGATATAGGAACTGCTAATAGCTTGTGTGTTTTAGAAGTATGAATAACTCGTCTGTCCACGCCGGGTAGTTTACAAAGCATCAACCTATGCATTATTCATAAATCATGGCACTTACTAACAACAATACATCTGAGAAGAGCATTGGTATATTCTTAATACCCTGTTGGTACGAGACTGTGTTCTTTGCATAATTTATTGAACACTGGTTGTCACTATAATATTTGCTCACAAATGCACAGTGTGCATTGAGGTGCGTAATGGCAAAGAGCTTATAATGATAATAAAGATCATTATAAGCTCTTTGGTAATGGTTGCGATATTTATACAATTTACACCCTTCTTCACATTATACCTACGCATTTAAAAGAGGTTATACAAAAGAAGTTCTGCGACTGTGTTTGTGTCGGCATGTTCTCATTATTATGCAGCTTTGCCATAGCATAGGATTCGTATCAGCAGGGTATATGTATAGTAATGCTCCCGATGGATCTATGGTTAAAATTGATGTAGATACATGCTAATATTATCGCCGTTATAGTTTCAAGTATTTAATGTTACAGGAGGACAATGAAATGTAGTATGTAAGGGTTAAATAATGATGTATCATGGCATTGCTGTGTTACATGATCCAGTAGTACTGTACGGCCATTATCTAATTTACCTAGATTCATCTGGCATGATTGAGAGGTAGATCTAGCCAGTCAGCATTGTGATAGGAGCATTCTAAAATACAATGCTCAAAAACAAAGTGCTGCAAAGTAATTTGGTGCAGATATATGAAAAACATTAGTTTAGCTTGACCACCCTAGCAACAATACTGAAGGAGGGGGATTAGTTATCTCACGCACTCACATATATAGGTCCATTGTTAAAAAGCTAGTTCATTAACCTTTGGAGCTGTTGTTATAGAAGTACAGTTTTTCTTTTAGAATTGTGGTAAACATCAACGTCCTGTCATGCTTAATTATTAGCTGCAGAGATGTTTCGTTTATATTCGCATATATATATATATTTATATAGAATTATATAGCTGCGTTCACAAGAGACTACGTATTTATGAAATTCGTTATTTGCGAGATACCGAATCTGAGACAAATACTTACTCCACCCGAGCATTCACACGCTGTTTCGCGGCTTCTGAAATGCCGTATTTGCGAGCTGCGATCTACTTTACTACAATGGAAAAAAAAAACAATGCGTCCAAGCGAAAAATCAAGGAAACAATGCGAAATAAACAATCAGTGCACAGCAACTGCCGATAAAATACGTAGACTGGTCCGCGCCTGGCAGTTCCATTCGCGTTACACGTTACGCAAGTGGAACTGTCGAGCGCGGACCAGTCTATAAATTACGCGGCTTCAGAAATTCGGTATTTAGCATTCACACGAGAGAAATACGCGGTCCAAGAGATTCGGAATATCTCAAGCACGAGAAGTAATTTGGCATCTGGGAAGCCGCGTATTTCAACGAATACCGAATCTATTTAGATTCCGCATTTGTTGGACCGCGCATTTTTGCCTCGTGTGAACGCTAAATACCGAATTTGTTGCTCCGTGTGAACGCGGCTTATATATATATATATATATATATATTATATATATACATATATGTATATATATACCTGATTGGTACATTATGGAAATCTACTCAATACTTAAAGATTGAACTTATTGAAATTAGTTTCCTTGTGCTGTAATTGCAATGAAAAACGAATAAGTGCAAATATTGACGCAGTAACTAGTTGTTTATCTAAAATGTTTGTGACATGCAGGGACCAGACTATGAACGTTTCATAGTATCAGGTTTTGAAAGGGTTTTTATAGTCAGATTTTGAAGTCAGGTAATTTTGCTGGTTTCCTTTTTAAAATTTGTCTTCAAATCAGTGGGATTCTGAATTGATGTATGTAGCTATAAAGTGGACAACTGCTAATGTCTGGCAGACGTGATATGTAAGATTAGATTTTTTATATACGGACAACTCGTGTAGAAGTTGAAGTCGAGATATTTCAGTGCGTATTTGTCTAAAAATCTAATGCAGCATTTGACGAGTGGTGTTACGTGCAGTATGTATGTGCAATATGCTATCATTTGTGAGTAGGTTGCGTTGTGATGTCTCGTAGGCGTATAGCTTTGTGGTTTGTACTCGCAAAGAATCATGTCACCAGCTTAGATGGTTTAATGCAGGTGCTTATAACACAACCGCTACGAGGTGGTAGTTTGGCTAGAAGTAGCCAGTCAATAAATTGTCATAGAACCCAAGATTGTACGTAAAGTATCTCGCTGGTTTGACACGAGATATCACAGCAATTTACTATGTAATCGACAGTTTTTGTTAGGTACATGTGTAGAACTAGTGCTTCACGGACTCTGTGTGTGTTGATGATGCTGTTTGTCTGCTAAACAGATGCTCCACCTATCCGGGGAGTGGTTCAGGATTGGTCCTGTGGTATCTTAGAACATACGTGGCAAATCCCCCTTTAGCTTGGGAGCTCTCGCTTGCCATTAGGCCTACATTATAGGTCCTAATACTATATTCGAGTGAGGAATTAGGCAGAAATCCATCAGGAGATGGACGAGTTAGTGTCGGGATACACACCATTCAATTAGCAAACCTCGATTTAACACGTGACCACATGGTTGGAATAGCTGTTCTCTGACATTAACAGCAATGTGAGGTTTTAAACAGTTAAAGCTAGGATGTCCACGCACGAGATTTTTACCATCTTTGACGAGAGTGAACTTTGTCAGATATCTTAGTGTAGGATAGAGAGATAGGTCATATTATGGTGTTAGCTCTACCGTACAGTCCCAAGCAATGGTCACATGGTCTGTCAGGGTTGCACGGGAGAGCTAGCTTAGGGGTAAATCTTTTAAAACAGAGCAACGTTTTTACGTAGCTCTTGCCACCCTTAATATTTTATTGTAACAAACCAACTTTTGCAAGACAGCAGTTTTGTTGCTGGCATCTTCGAAAGAAAAAAACGAAAATTGAGAAAACAATTTCATATGAAGTAGTCGAGGAGGTAATTTGTATTGGTGCATTGATTCACTTTTGGAGGGATCACAAATTAGGACATTTTGTGGAGCACACATATTTACTTGTGCGTATAGTGGGGAGCTAGATAAAGCAGTGTTCTTATTTGCATGCTAGAAATGTCAGTTAGCTGATAATTGAGTATATCCAACCCATGTTATTTAAAATCATTAACAATCTGGTGGAATTTCCAGGCGATACAAATTTGACACCTATGACAGCCCGCACTAGATCAGCACTCTCCAAGAAACTCAGGCAATTCTCAATCAGAACAGGCAGCTTCAAGTTTAGTTTCTTCCCCAGGACAGTACCAGTTTGGAACTCTTTACCAGCACTAGTTGCTGAGGCTCCCTCCTTAGTATTCTTTAAGGGGGAGCTGTCACGTCATTCATTCTGAAGTCTTTTGGTCCCCATTTGCCCAGTAAGAAGGCCTTGAGCTAGGCCGGCAGGGAAGCACTTTCCTGGTACCGCCACGGAAGCTGGATTGGTCTTGGGTAGATGACCAAAAAAGCAAATGGGTCATCTCCTTTACTTTATTCTTTAATCATTTACCTTACTTATTTATTCTTGGTCATGTAATTCTTATTTGTAAATGTTCTTTTTCTTGCGCCCACCGGAAACCGTTGAGTAATTGTCAAGAGTGACAGATCAACGTAACCATATAGATGTAGATATATATAGCGATAGGTGACAAATTATTTCTCTGAATGCAGTTATTTGGTAACTGGTTAGGTTTTAGCATAATGATGATAAATTGTTGGAGCTTAATAGGTGTTAACTAAGAAGTAAAAGAAAATATAACCGAGCTCGCTCGCATATTTATGGGAATGATGGTGGAAGAAATGGTAGCGAGTACGTCTTCTGAAAACCATTCATGATTTGTTTTCTTGTGGGATTCTTGCAAGTACACAGTAAGGCCAGCAGTCCTTACTGAATTTACTGAGCCAAATGTGTACCCTGCTATTGTATTTTGTTACTACTCTAGTCAACAAGATTAGCTGCTAAATATATCATTAATTTCACATGTGATAACTCAAGTTACCAAAGCCATTAGAATACTTACTTGTTGACTGGTTACTTAACAATTTGTGTTGTAAACTTTTGTTGCCATCTGCAAAACCAGACCTCACATTGTTTCCCATGCATTTATATATGAACCTGGATATTAGCAATCAAAGTTCCCTAGTTTTTCTCTTCTCTCGCAAGACGTTTTGAACTGCACCAAGTAACATCTACCAGAAATACTGTACATAACGTGTGTCACGACGTGTGTGTTGCGTGGTGTTAGTTCAATATCATTGTAGCTGGAGACAAACCCGTAGGCATGTCAGTCATGTCTTAAACAAAACATGGGAAATCAATCATTTTCCTCAAACACTATTATCTGTTATTTACTGCCTAGCGATCGATGTTTCAGCCAATAATGCAGTCATATGGTTGATGCATAAATTTATAGATAGTAAGGTTCATACATTTGTGAAAATTTGAAGTGCTAAGAAAATGCAGTGTGTAACAGCTGATATTTTACAGGAGCAATGTGTACTTAAAATTAATCTGATGCACTAAATCCTTTACGTTCGACAAGCCTGACATGATTGAACTTATTTGAATAAATGTGCAGCATCTCACGTTATTATATCTCTTGATATTGCGTACAAGAAATAAGCATAGCGTCTGTGTGTAGGGCAGTGAGACATAATTCAGTGATGTGTGCTAGTAGTTAGAAAAACAATTACCAAATTGATTTATATATTTTCTGATTGTGTGTCGAGTTTTAACACGTGCACCAATCTTAGCAGTGCAAAAACATGCATTACTGATTGTTTAAATGTTCAAAATGTGTCTTAATGTATGGTTTCATGGACAAAAAGTCATAAATCTAGTTACACAGTTTTAAATGGAATGCAACTATTTGTCTCTAACGCAATAAGCTTATAAGGCAATCGTTTAATATGTGTGCAATACAATACTGTGTTAAAAATTGGAAACCCAAAAATATTCTGTACCCAATAAGTATAAATATGTGGAAAGTGAAATGATTAATGATATACAAATCCTGCAGTAAATACGCACTTAATTATATACCAAGGATGCTGGCACATATACTTTCTTATGGCAAATGTTTAGGGGGAAATGCAAGTAAACCATTATATAACAGGTTAAACTAACTTTCTATTTATATTTTATATGCATACCATTATTTTGTGCTACCATGTGTTTTTATCTATGTTTTTTATTGCAATATGTATTTTATGTATTACCTACATTGTAAAACTGACCACGTGTATTTTATTTTGATATTGTGCTTATCTCTGAGTGCACTCTGGAAAACTAGTGAACCATTGTATAGACATAATGTATTTAATATTGGTATGCTTTGCTTTAAAAGCTTTGCATATGTTTTCAATTATGCAATATCCACAATAAAACTACTTGCAATATTAATACTAAAACACGTGCAATTTCTGTTTATATATGAAAGAGTATAATAACTCAATAGCACAGGCAATTACAGCAATGATAATATCCTGCTAGGCAGACAATTATATTACATTCGTAGTCAATACAATCTATGACAGCAGCTTACGTGATAACTAACTAGTTCACAGAATATTGGTCACGAACACTATCATGTACTCCCTGGCTTCAGACATATTGGACAGATGCTTTGACAACCTGATATATATATATATATATGTATATATATCAGGTGTAAATAATCTCAAAGGAGTTTGACACATATTTTCCCACGTTTTTAACGATTTCCCACTTACAATTTTGGCATAAATAAAAACAACAATGTATATGTTTTTAGCTTATTTCGTACCTTTATTATACGCCTATTGTATACTGAAATAAGTTTATAGCTATTTAATGCCGTGTTGCTGTAAATTGTATTCAAACACAGCATTGATTGAGAGGCCTTCGGCATGTTCCGAATCGGCACCGTTTAGGAATATAATTTACAGCAATACGACAATAAATAGCTATAAACCGATTTCAGTACAAGATAGCCGAATAATAAAGGTACAAAATAAGCTCGTGAACATATCAGTTTTTGTTTTTATTAATGCCAAAATTCTCTGTCTCTCTCTCTCTATATATATATATATATATATATTTGTGTGAAGTCTGTACTTGCAATTGGCAAAATACCATAGGGAAATATAAACGTCAACTAAAACCAACATAGTGAATATGTTAATACGTTATCATAGCATTAACTATTAACAAATTTAGCTGCTATATTTTCGCACAGTCTATGACATTACAATATCCTGTACGACTGACTTGTAACAGGGTTACGATAAGTTAGTTGTTATGCTATATACATTTGGACAGTGCATAGTGAACATCATCACATACATTTCATCAACTTGTGCCAGTAGAATGTACTAATATTGATATAAATATACGCATTGGAAGTTGTATTAAGTATTTTATACACTATTTTAACCATCCACCGTACACGACTTGTAAGACAGTATGATCCATGGCTGGAGCTAGAGTAAATACACAGACCATGGTGATTATTCTGTCATTCCACTGACTGCATGAGTACTGAACCTATTTTGGCACGTATACGATTTCATTTCACTAAATTAGGTTTGATCTGCAATTGAGCTAACATTTGTATAACTTGCAGCACATATCTAGATAAAACTATATGCAAGTATATTCTTCTCTGCACAGCACGTATACTTTACATTATACATGCATTGAAGCATATGATTCCATAACCATTTGCTCTAATATCAATCTAAGAATGACTGCCTCCGTAGTATGAAGGGTAACACATGCTGCTAACTATAGCATAAAGCAAAGGCATTCACCTTTACTGAATCTAAGCTAGCTAAGTAGTAAGACTAACAATCACCATGTTAGTGCTACAGAACGAAAACTAGTGTTTTCATTCCACAGGGATCCATTACTGGCGTATATACATGTGTGGATTTCATACAATAGGGAGAAGCATTTATTGGCTTCAGGCTTACAGCCGAATCACAGTGCCAATGGTGACTGACACTTGCCAGGTCATGGCTCCTTATCAAGGATCACTTTGCCACCCCTGGCTAGGCTGATACAGTTGATTTTATGATGTGCAATCATCTCTTGAATGCTTGCAAATTTCTGCAACAAAGCACACGACACCCTTAGATTTGTTCCGACATATAAAAGTGTTGCTAGCTATAAATCATGGTCTCAAATGAAATGAGATATTGATGCTTTTTCTGACATGCTTTTTGAGGTAGTTCTTCAAGAGAACCACAAAATCTTGACAAGATGTTGGTGTAGGTCTAGCGTGGGAAGTACTTGTTTGTGTGCAGTTACATTTTGTGTGCAAAATGACTCGAGTGAAGTAATGACAGTACATTTTATAGAAATGTTTCCCTACTGTTTAACTGAAACATGCTTTTAACATAAATAATGCAGAATTTCACCGAAACTAATAGTGAACGCCAAAATATTGCAATCATTTGTATATTTATAATTTTAAATTACATGCATCAAATGCGTAGCATGTGGAAATATACTGCAGCATAGTCATGTTTGTCACCAGTGGTAAGGGCAGGTATTGAAATCATCCATTTTTCTATTGAAATTGAACAGTAAAACTGCTCCTGAAATGTAAATATGAGAATGTGTATACTCCTGAAAACTGCTTGAGCCTACACTGTTGAATACTGGTTAATGTTTTCCCCAAAGATAATAGAAAAGATGAACATTGAACTTACTTTACCTGCCAGTTTCCATTGTAATTCCAAAACCTAGTGTCAAGTGTCTTGCTCATTAGTTAGCAGATATTAACACTCACCGTTTCATTGTCCTTCTCGGATCCAAGGGCATAGAGGCCATCCCGTCGCTGTCGGATTTGTAAGTGCCATGTCTTGCGTTCGAACAAGACATCGAGAGTATATGGGCACTTCCCTCGCTTACTGTCTCTCACCAGGAACGTCCCATCCTGTTTAATGATATATGTTCATCATAAAGCTGCGAAAAATACTGCATGGAAACATCGAGTGTATACGCGTAGGCGTATAACAATCTGCCAATGCATTGAAAGTCATGGTAAATTGGGCTATTGCAGTTTATGTTTTTACCGTTTCTATCTTGAGAAGCATATCTCCAGCTTGATCCCTGCCTATGTTTCCATGGTACCAGCTCTGGTTGCTAAGCTCAGAACCCACTTTGCGATTATTTGGCTGTGAAAACAACCAATAGCTTACACACATGCAGCGAACAAAAAATGTGCAAAAAATCCAGTATTATGATTACTCTCATGTCACGAATGTAAAACCTGATTAATCAGATTTGGAGAATAACGTAATTGCATGGTTGCACAGCTCTTCATTGTATCAAATAAGATTAAATGGGTTTAACGTGAGTTATCAAAATGCTAAAAACATACCAATAAAATGAACTATAGTTTGTGAACTTGATTATTTAGTTAATGTTTGGATCACCTTGTACAAATTAATGCTGACTACTTGCCAACTATAATATTCATACCGATAAATACTTACAAAGATGCCTATATCTGCTAAAAGAGTAATTGGTTTATATTCATTTAGTTTGTACTTACTGAAACAGGAATCGGTGGCAGTACTCTCTTTGCACTACCTAGTAAAAGAGGGGTTTAAGACGATTATATTTTGTGTCTGTATTGTCTCAGTTAGAAAGTTGATGTTTTTGCACAGATCGTGAATCCATTGGTCGATAGCATTTTCACTTTATATACTCACCTCGCCCTCCAGAAACGTCTGTGTTCACACCCTGTGATAGACAATGTAATACATTATTATAAACTCTTAGATTACCCTAAACTCCTGCCAACAATGACTAGGGAAGAGACCGTGGCATGAATATACTATACCATATATATATATTGTGCGTGTGCGTGTGCGTGTGCGTGTGCGCGCGTGTGCGTGTGCGTGTGTGTGTGTTCGTGACAGGGTAAAAAATACACGGGAGCGACGATTGATTCGCTCCCGTGAGGCTATTATTGTTATGTCAGCTTATTGCTTCGTAAATCTTAATGATGTAGTTGTGTACTTACACAAACTGGAATAGATGGCAGACCCCTCTTTCCATCTGTTGGTAATAAAAAAACCAAATGAGTAGAATAGTAAGGTCAGTAATCCAGTGTTTGAGATGGATAAATTTGTACATAGGCTCATAAATGCCCATATAGCATATAGAAGGATTTCCCCCGATTCGTTGTGAGCAGGCACACTTTAGCATTCAGCATTCAATCCTACAATTAAAATGCCAGTGTTATACAGCAGGTACCTTCTATGGCAAGTGTATATGTATATAGTAAGTAATTCCTGGTTATATATAGCGGATGTGTACCAGTGTTGTATAGTATTTATATGTGTATATAATAAGTAATTCCCCGTTTTAACTGACCGTAATAACTGTAATAACTGAGGTGAAATCCTACACATGCAGATAGTATGAGTACTTTGTACTTTTCTTTGCTTTTATGTTATTTTTTACTTTTTACTTTTTGTGTGTTTTTGTTGACAGGAAGGTGTTTATGTTAAGTTTGGCTCATAGGGTCTATGTCCCTCAGGGTACTGCCGGAACGTACCCTGGGTACGGTCCGGTATACCGGAACGTACCCTGGTCACTATTTGATATGGTTAGGGTTAGGGAGTAGGTATAGGCGACTCCCTAGACTCGTTAGTGGAGTAGGCGAGGTACGGTCCGGCATATAATATAGTACCAGGGTACGTTCCGGTATACCGGACCATGCACATTTTATTTTTTTATATTAAAAATGACCATAATAATCTAGAGATATGTGAACCTATATATCCGGATTAAATATGCACTTAGGAACTTATTTTTGTAAAAATCTAATTTTTGTCCAGGTAGGCCATTTTCAGCATTGACATGTGTGCATGCTCGTTACTCAAAACAATAACTTGTGACTTTGTCCGTATTATGCTGGAGCGGGTCACATATTGTTTATATAGCACTCTCCTGCAATGATAATACAGCTGCAAGCAGCCTGTATTCAAGGAAATAAATGCACAGTATTCCATTGCAGGAGCAGTGTCATTGTTCACACTTACCTCTCCTTCTCTGATTTTCTGGGGTTACTTCTACACTCTGTAAAATTCAATACAGATGTCTTGTCAAGTTTCTGATCTAGTTTTCTTTACAACACATATTTATGAACAGATCATTTCATAGATATATGTACAAGTGCATACTATTGTATTAGTAAACTTCCTCATATGGAACCACTATGTAGAACAATGATAAATCTAAATGTACCGCATGCACGGACGGTGGGTTCACTATTGAATTCATTTCACAATAACCGTTACTTGGGGGTGCTAGTTTCTTTGGGGAATTTGTTCCCTGAAATGAAGAAGACAGATATCCAGTTTCAATGTCATTTATGCATCAAGCCTGCTTGCAATTTATTATTCCCAAAAACCCTGTATATCTCTAATAGTATTTTGAGAAAAAACAATGGGCGAGCATCCACAAAAAAATTATACGTTCCAGGCCTTCTTGTCGCGTACAACTCCATCCAACCGTATGACCACAGGCACTTGGGACAGAGTCAGTGAAAACTGAAAATAATATGAACGCACATTCACAAATACCAACGTACCTCTCAATTACAGTTCCACTGTTGTGTCACTGTATATCAACTTTCCTTCATAAAAACTAACACCGAACGCTCCCGCACTCGCCGCTGTGAGTGCTGTGTCGCCATGATAATCTATATCTTCTATATAATTTATATAAAGTTGTTCAGCCGAATTAGTAGTGGTGAGTATTGCGACCAAAAACCGTATTGCAATATATTGCAATACGACAAAACGCGTTATTGGCAATATTTTCAATACGTAATTGGGGAGAGGGGGTCATACCTATGTGTCGCCGTACCTATGTGTCCCGTTACCTAATGTGTCCCAGGTACCCATGGTACCTATGTGTCCCGGTAACACTATGTGTCCCAGTACCTCAGGTACGGCTAATGTGTCCGGTACCTTAGTGTCCAGATACCCTATGTGTCCCATGCTACCGTCAGGTACCTATGTGTCCCGGTACCTATGTTTCCCAGTACACGAAACCAAAGTGATATTCAGGGATTAGGCCCTGAGGCCGTTACGTCAGCAAAACAAAAATGTATAAAATGTTTTTTTGCTAGTAATTATTCACATAAAAAGCTGTCAGTTCAGTACAATTTTTTGCATTAAGCGGGGGACACACCATGCGAAATATCGCATGGTATAACATGATCAGATATATACCAACATCATATATGGTGTTGTATTGATACTTATGGTATAAGCATTATATAGATAAGCTGTGGCCAGATTGACAATCAGGGTGGGCTCAAGGTCAAGTGATACATGTACATAAAACGTGATGTTATACATTGTATCACGCAAGGCCAAAGCAAGCAATTTTATCTCTCATATGACCACTTTTAATTATGGGGCCGGAACATAGGTCCGTGAAACATAGGTACCGGAGGAAAAATAGACTCTGGGTATTGGGACACATATAGGTAGAACCGTAACAACATAGGTACCCGGACACATAGGTACCGCGGGATAACATTTAGGTACCGCGGATCACCATAGGTACCTGGGTACTGGGACACATAGGTAACCGGGGACACATAGGTAGGGACCATTTGAGTCTTATACATGCAATGATTCAGTACAATTTGATGCGTTTGTTAATTCATCATATATTGTAATTATAATCACAATGATTTTAATTTCTATGTTTTTCTCCTGAGAAACAGAAGCACGGCAATGTTTTCCGCTGACAGTGCCAGCCTCTGTGCAAGTAAATCACCGTACTGATACGCCGTAGTACCATTAGAGAGTCTGCCGAAAAGCGGGAGGAAGCAACTGCCCGTGGCTGGAATACACAATACCCTGCTGCATAATTGGGCTAATACTGGATACTGAAATGAACTGCGAAACTGAAACTGAAACAGTGGGTGCTCGCTTTCAGCTTGTATGCGCCGTGCGCGCGGGCACTCAGGTGAGCATAAGCTATATATAGACTCCCTGGTTGCCCGTGCTCTCTGCCTCGGCTCATCGACGCGCTGCCCCATCTCTGCCCGCCGTCAGCTAGTAACGCGCAGTGCTCCATGCCGTGTGTCGCGTTACCAAGTAATACTGTATGCGCCGTGTAGCATTGTGCTTCGTAATATATCACCGCCGATTGATTAATTTTCGATGCCCTATTAACAAATATAGACATAAAGGCGAAGTGTCAAGTAATTTATTCTTTATAACCTACCAGTACGTAAAATATTCCGATATCCGGAAGTTGTAATCGCGATAACTACAGAGTTTTCAAATATATTGCAATTATAATACCGATATACGGTATATCGTTACACCCCTACGAATTAGTCCATACTCGCATAACTAGAGAACTCCGCAGCCTAGAGGAAAACTAAAGATATTTTCAGAATCAGCACGTCTGGGAGGTTGTTCTGGCTGAAACAAAAATTAAAAAAAGTTAAATCTATATATATATAAAGTTGTTCAGTCGAATTAGTCCGTACTCGCATAACTAGATAACTTCGCAGCCTAGAGGAAAACTAAAGATATTTTCAGAATCAGAACGTCTGGGAGGTGGTTCTAGCTAAAACAAAAATTTAAAAAAGTTAAAAAGTTAAAAATTTATAAAAATTATATTCATCAATAGATGGCGGTGCGTACAGATTAACATCACGTAGTGTGAATCCATGGTGTATACCCTTAACGGCGCAGTGGCCTAATCACTAGAACATCCGTCTCCTACACCTGGATTCCGGGTTTGAGTCCGAGCTGGGAAACATATTTTCCCCTTTTTTTCCTTTTTTCACCTTTACCTACCTCTTTATGTATTTATTTTAATTTTTTTTATTTTTACTTTTAATTTTTAACGTCTTATCTTTTGATTTCTTATTATTTTTTACTGTTTGGGATGGCATGGCATGCGATGGCATGCGATGGCATGGCATGGCATGGCATGGTATGTATTATTTTTAATTTTTTTAATTTTTACTTTTAATTTTTAATGTCTTATCTTTTGATTTCTTATTATTTTTTACTGTTTGGGATGGGATGGTATGCGATGGCATGGAATGGCATAGGGTGGGATATGGGATGGGATGCGGTGCGATGGGATGGCATGGAATGGGATGGATGGATGGATGCATGGATAGATAGATAGTTAGATTTTTTGGGGTATTTTCCTTTCAACCAAGCGGTCACCAACTGAGTAACGCCACTGATTTCCCCGGGCAACGCTGGGTATCCCGCTAGTAATATATAAAGCCTTTATATATTATTATCATGGCGACACAGCACACTCGCAGCGGCGAGTGCGGGCGCGTTCGGCATTAGTTTTTATGAAGGAAAGTTGATATACAATGACACAACAGTGGAACTGTATTTGAGAGGTACGGTAGTATTTGTGAATGTGCGTTCATATTATTTTCAGTTTTTACTACTGATTCTGTCCCAAGTGCCTGTGATTATGAACATGTGATGCATTCTTGTTTATCATGCATTACACGAACGTTATAATCTATATTTACCGATGGTGCTGAGCTGGATGCAGGACTCGTCTGGCTATAGCCTCCAGTCAGATTTCCAACCTTGAGAGTCGATGAAGGAGAAGTTATGCTAACCCATCCTTTCGAAAGTGACGGTTTAGGCGTGGTGGGCAGTGGCGGCTTATCCCAAGGTCTGTGTTTCTGGTCCCCACTCGCCTTTAAGAAACGAGTTTATTTAATTCATTAACAATATTAAGACATGTATTAATTATCTTCAGGATATGATCATGTGCGTAACTCTATTGCACAGTTATATAGATATTTAATCGTCGTAACTGCAGCAGGTATGTCTGGCAGTATTAACTTATGTGTGTGCGTGCGTGCGTGCGTGCGTACGCAGGCTTGTGCTTGTACATGTGTACTAGCAAAAGTACCCGGCATTGTACAAGGAAAATGGAGAGTAAGAATATGCTTAAGATTAGTTAGAAAATGAGTTGTGGTAATTGATAATATTGTGATTATCAGGCCAAATATAAATATGAATTATTTTTAGCACTAGTACTGGCATGAACTCATAGGAAAATGCATTTGTTATGTACATCAACCTTGCACTGTCCATTTCTTTCAAAGTATACAAGTGTAAAGGACCATGTGTCGCATTTCCTACTTGAATAGACATAAATAGATAACAAGCATAAATTGAAAAGAACTCACCTCTGTAAGTCGCCCCTGTACCTCATCAGTAGGCCTAGGTAGGGTCCCTATATACAAAGAGTTGCGACATGACGAGTCGGAAAAAATCGGTCACGTGATCGCTGGACGCAATGTTGTTTTCAAATGGATCCACACTGCTGCCGCTCAAGTACAGTGCTGTATGGATACGCTGTACAATGGTCCGTAGTAATTAATTAGACTAATCGTGCTTCAATAAACTCAAAATTCACAGCGATTATAGCTAAGACATGTGTCTATGTGTATCTAGATTTCTAGAAATGTTACTCAAATCGTTCGCGCCATGTTCTTACCGCCCATATAACCGTGCGTATATTAGCCTGTGCGATACCGCGCGTAGACTATGGGGCGCCAAGTGTCGCATGACTGATTGACTGATTTCGTTACGAAATCAATGTAACGAAATCAAGTCTACAAAGTGATTTCGTTACGAAATCAACTACTGCGAGTGATTTCGTTACGAAATCAAGTCTACAAAGTGATTTCGTTACGAAATCAACTACTGCGAGTGATTTCGTTACGAAATCAGCTACTGCGAGTGATTTCGTTACGAAATCAGCTACTGCCAAATGAGTACGTGCCGGGTACACGCACGGTGCACGCGGGTACACGCACGTACCCCCACTACCACTGCGCGCCCCATAGATTTCGTACAAAAAAATCATTGATTTGTAACGAAATCACAGTCATGCCGACACTTGGCGCGCGGCGCGCCAAGCTGTTAGCATGATTCGTCAAACGAAATCACTCAATCGGCAGCTAGCTGAATTTCGTTAACGCAAATCACTCGCCAGTAGATGAATTCGTTACAAATCATGCGACACTTGGCGCGACCGGCGCCGCAAGGTGTCGCATGACTTTGATTTCGTTACCGAAATCAGCTACTGCGACGTGATTTCGTTACGAAATCATTGCCTTCACCTGGCGCGCCGGCGCGCCAGTGTCGCCATGACTGATTTCGCTTACAAATCATTGAGTTTCGTAACGATAATCACAAAAATCAAGTCTACAAAGTTGATTTCGTTTACGAAATCAACTACTGCGAGTGATTCGTACGAACATCAGCTACTGGCCCGATTGAGTGATTTCGTACGAAAGTCATTGCTACACTGGCGCCGTCCCGCGCGCCAAGTGTCGATGACTGATTTCGTACGAAATTCAATGATTTTGTAACGAAATCTATGCGGGCGCCAAAGTGTAGCATGGGGTACGCTACGTGCGTTGCTACCCGCGTGCACGTGCGTGTACCCGCACCGTACTCATTTGCAGTAGCTGATTCGCTAAACGTGAAATCACTGCGCAGTAGCTGATTTTCGTAACGAAGTCACTTTGTAGACTTGATTTCGTACGAAATTCAAGTCATGCCCAACACTTGGCTCGCGCCGGCGGCCAAGTGCCCAGCCATCTATTTCGTAACAAATTACTCGCAGTAGCTGATTTCGTATTGAAATCACTCGCAGTAGCGTGATTTCGTATACGAAATCACTCGCAGTAGCTGATTTCGTAACGAAATCACTGCAGTACGGTGTGAAGTTTCGTAACGAAATCACTTTTGATAGACTTCTGATTTCGTACGAAATCACATGATTCGCTAACGAAATCAAGTCATGCGGACACTTGGCGCGCTAGCATGATTCAGTAACGAAATCACTCGCAGTGCTGATTCGGCTAACGCAAATCACTCGCAGTAGCTGATTGCGTAAACGAAATCACTCGTAGTAAGTTGATTTCGCTCTAACGAAATCACTCTTGTAGACTTGATTTCGTTACGAAATCAACGATTTCGTAACGAAATCAGTCATGCCGACACTTGGACGCGATCTTGACGTGAGACTCACGCATTTTTGACCAAATCTGCACGCTCTCACGCTGATCTTACAATATCTCACGCCACAGCAAAAAAAATATTACAGTATCTGAAAACAGTCCACTTTAGTATGACACCAATTGCACAAATTGAAGTTATAAAATGCAAAGCTGCCTACCGTGGGAGGGCAAACCCCCCATCCCACACCCACCCCGCTCGGTCGCTTCGCTCCCCTCGCATCTCACTCTCACCTATTCACCCCAAGTTGCAGCCCTGCGTAATACCTATACATTATAATAATTAAACACTCGGCGATGTGTGCGTCGTGCTTGTGTGTGTGTGCAGCGCTACACGTGCGGTGGCGTTGCTGGTGCACGGTGACACGTGCCGTGCCATGAGTGGTGCTCTGTCCGTGTCTGCAAGTACACGTGTGTTACTAGATCTCTGTGATTCTTTGAGTTTATTGAAGCGCGAGTGGTTTTAATTAATATTAGCAAGTATCTTACGCCTGGCGGGTATCGCCACAGGGTGTATATATACGCACGGCTATCGCGCGCGGTAAGAAAGTGCTATATATTAAACTAATCATATGGTCGACCGCGAACAGGTTGAGTTACATAGTTTTAGACTATGACTAGCATACATATAAACAGCATGATTGTTATCTAATGGATCTCCCTGTGATTCTTGAGTTTATTGAAGCGCGAGTGGTTTAATTAATTATCGCAAGTATCTACGCGCGGGGTTATCGCACAGGCTAATATACGCACGGCTATGGGCGGCGGTAAGAAAGTGTATAATTAAACTATCATATGGCGCGAACGATTTGAGTAACATTTCTAGAAATCTAGATACACATAGACACATGTCTTAGCTATAATCTCTGTGAATTATGCGTATCCATACAGCGCTGTACTTGAGCGGCAGCGGTGTGGATCCATTTGGAAACAATATTGGCCGTCAAAATCCTGGTTGTCGCAACTCTCTGTATATAGGGACCCTAGGCCTAGGTCTTGCTGGGAAGCACTCTTCTAGGACCTAGCGAATCACATGTCTTCATTAGAAGAAATGTATTTTTCTGTCTATCATTGAATCGTAAATATATGTGTATCGCGTAAATGAAGTCGCGTGTGACTGTGTTGAGTGATGTGTGCGTGTGTGTGTCGATGTATTCAAACGTGTCCTTACGTTGACCTACCTCTGCCGGGGGTGCTGGTGCGTTTTCAAGGGGTGGCGATGAACTGATACTTAGTGGGATCTAGCAATGTATAAATTCAGTTTTATTATTCAAATACTTCATTATCAACATTCAACACTTCATTATACGTTATAGAACACTTTCAGAACTCAAATAGAGCCAATTCCCTATCACTTATATTGGCTTTTGCCTGACTGTGTTAACTTCACAAAAAGTGTCAATAAAAACAACCGTTGCAGTAAGCCTTATAGTATGTACTTGTCAGGCCTTTGATCAATTCACCAATAGATCATCAGTAATTTCTGAACAACATCTACTTATTCTAGGAATATTTCTGGGCCGTTTTGTCCAAATCGGTGACTGCTATGTACACATAAGCTACGTATACACGACGAACCTTAACTCGAGTTAAGCGTCTACACGGGGCCTTAACTCCAGTTAAGGTAACTCGAGTTAGCCTAACCTCGCAGTCGATCGAGGTTAGCTAACTCGGAGTTACCTTAACTCGAGTTAAGGCCCGTGTGCTTGAACTCGAGTTAGCTTAACCCCACGATAGGCGGCAGCACTAGTACGATGTACGTACACACGCACGCACGCGTACTTGCACACGCACGCGACGCGTACTTGCCACACGCACGCACACACTCATGCACGCACGTGTACGTGCAACGCATGCACGCACGCCACGCACGCCTACGTGCACACGCACGCCACGCACGCACGAACGTGTACCTGCTCACGCGCGCACTCACGCACGTGTACTTGCACACGCACGCACACACTCATGAACGCCACGTGTACGTGCACACACACGCACACACGCATGCACGGACCGTGTACGTGCACACGCACGCACGAACGCACGTGTACGTACACACGCCACGCACGCACGCACACACGCACGTCTACGTGCACATGCACGCACGCGCGCACACACGCACGCAACGCGACGCAAGCACGTGTAAACGCAGCGCACACATTCAGGCACGCACGTGTACGTGCACACACGCACGCATGCACGCCAACGTGTAGGGTACATACGCACGCACGCACGCAAGTGTACGTGCACATGCACACACGCACGCACGCACGCACGCACACACGCACGTTTACATACACACGCACGCACGCACGAATAATAAATCGGTAATAATCGCTATCGGTGTTGTCGTGTAGACGCCTACAATAATCGCTAACTCGAGTTAACGCTTAACTCGAGTTAGCTTAACTCGAGTTAAGGTTCGCCGTGTAGACGAGGCTATAGTGTTAGGAGATACTTACAAAAACATTTGGAGGTCTTTGTGGTTTGGCACATCTGTCAATTAGTGGTGGAAGATCCGGTAGCTCATACACAAGCGGTGTTGTTGGTTCATTGTGCGGCATTCCTCTGGGTGATGTTTCCATTGATGAACTATGACTTGTGTTACCTGATAAGCATAAGATACATTGCTTTACAATACAGAGCATTTTATTCTGTACGAGAGTTAAAGGGGACGTCTTTTATCTGACTTCCTATGTCCCATAAAACGTTTCATTTACATTAACACGCATCGCGTTGATTTGTTAATATTTTCTCCAAATAAAGTAGCAATAATAGCAAAAAATTATACGAACCAAAATTCGCGTTCTTCTGTATTTGAAGTTCATCTGGGTTTTCATATTCCTGATAAAGTAACGAATGATAAGAAGTGGTCACAGACTGCATTAGTTAGGACACTGGTTGCAACCATAATAAGCGTAATAAAGATGTGTACTGGTTGTACCCTAACTGCGTCCAGTGACGTGTGGATGCGTTATGCACTTTAAGACCCCGTACAGACTACGATTTGATATGGTACATTGGTACTAAACTAGCGCGCTAAAAATTGCAGTGTGTACACGCTATCCCGCTCCAAGTTAGCCCCCCTTACGAAGCAGGGCTATCTTGGTGCGCACCAAGTTATCCCACCCTAACTCTTACCCCGTACAGACTACGAATTCGATATGGTACCAAACTAGCGCGCGCTAAATATTGTAGTGTGTACACGCTATCCCGCTCCAAATATGCGCTGGCCCGCTCCAAGTTGGCCCCCCTTACGAAGCAGGGCTATCTTAGTGCGCACCAAGTTATCCGGCTCTAACTCTGTGTCTGTTATCGGTGCCTATAATGCGCGCCAAGTTTCGCAATGGGCATGCGCATAGCCTTATTTAGGTCACGTACGCTCGCTCGCACGCACGCTCGCTGTAGGCTTAGATACAAATATCCGGATATATTTTTGGATATTTAGAAGTTTTCGGGATATTTAGAAAAATCTGGATATTTAGAAAATTCCTTAATATTTAGAAGATAAAACACTATTTTTTCAAATTAGAAGTTGTAAGGATGAGTTTGTCCTTTTCTGTTAAGAAAAACCATCCAGCGGTGCAAACTGTTTTCAAAATTGTTACAAAATTTTTTTTCGCACAAAATATGTTTAAAAGACATTACGTTGAAATAACTGAGATATTTAGAAAAATTTTGGGGATATTTAGAAAAAAAATTGAGATTTAGAGATTTTTTGGAGAATTTCCAGAAAGATATTTAGGCCATTTTTCGAGATATTTGTATCTAAGCCTAGCTCGCTGTAACTCGCTGTCTGCGGGGTGCATGACGTGGCGAGCAGGGAACTGAGCGGTGGGAGAACTGATGACTCATTTAGCCCGCTTCAGAGTTTTGTGTCTGTACGCTCCTAGTCCGTCTGACGCGCGCTAAAATTCGTAGTCTGTACGGGGTATCTGTGTCTGTATGCAATCGGTGCCTAACGCGCGCTAAGTTTCGCAATTCGCATGCGCATAGCCTTATTTAGATTACGTATGCTTGCTCGCACGCACGCTCGCTGTACCTCGCTGTCTGCGGGGTGACGTGGTGAGCAGGGAACTGAGCAGTGGGAGAACTGATGACTCATTTAAAGTAGGGTCAAATATGCAGTTTGTATGCTCCTAGTTAGCGCGCGCTAAGTTAACGCGCGGCTGACGCGCGCTAACTTTCGTAGTCTGTACGGGGTATTAATCAACACTCATAAGCACCAACCACTGAGCAAAGCTGCCTGTATCTTACACCACCGGTTACACATCACTGAAATATCTACACACTCACGAGCAAATTTTATTTGTATGTAATTGTAAGTCGCCTGTGAGTCTGTACATATCACCGTAACTTGCTGAAATCTCATGGTAAGAATTGTGGAAATAAAGAAAGATACCACTTCCTGCAACATTGTGGCCGTATCCATCTGTCGTAGAATTTTCATCCCCATTTTAAAGTATGAACAGCAGACAAAGATTCAGTCAGCGTAACATAGTGGTTACGTAGAGAATTTGCCTTTGGTTCAGTCGCTTACGACCACTGCAGATAACATCTTAGGAAAATGCAGCTATTAAAATTGCTTCACTCTTACAGTCTCACTGTATCAGATTCAGCAATATCCAAGGCACATGGACAGAGCCGTAGGCTGAGCAAATTCCTAGGGGGGGGGGGCAATGGCGGATCCAGGATTTCAAAGGAGGGGGTGATAAACAGGTGGGGGGTCTGGGGGTCTGGGTAATTTTGAAAATGTAGATCGCAGGAGATGGTATTTGAGGCACTTTTGAGTACATGTACAGCCTTCATTCTGACTACGACAATTCTCTTTTAGTAGAACAATTTTTTTTTGCTCCAAAATCTAGGGGGGGGGGCAGCTGCCCCCCTTGCCCCCGCAGGCTACGGCCGTGATGGAGCTGTCGACGTGTCTGCCGAATTTGCGTGCAGTCGTTATATATTAACCGAAATGTGGTGCAGGATTATGGAGTCCATGATCTCATTTATCTATGTTGGCATTCGCTACTAGAGAGAGGGCAGACGTCTGTCTATACCAATAACCAGATTTCTGTGATGGACTAAACAAACTTTTCACACGAACTGCACACAAGTAGACACGCAGTCAATACTAACACTTGTAGAAAATTTACTCCAAAGTCATACAACTATATGACAAACATTCGGTGGCAAACAATTGCATTGTTATTCAATCAAACAGCAGAAGAGACCAATGATGACGAATTGATGGCGTGCAATCACACATTACGTGTGGACTTTGTTCCCAGTACCCATCGTTATTCGTTACACCTGCACAGCTACAGAACTGCCAGTGAAAACCAAAGCAAACAATCGAGACACTGTGACATCCAATCGGACCAGTGTCTACTATCCTTGCATATACCATCAGGAGTCTATCATTATATTGATAAACTCCTGATATATTGACTATTGACTATTGACTATACATTGACTATTGATAGACTCCTGATACCATCATATGTGAATGATGGACTAGTGGCCACTTCTGTGACTACTGCTTGCAGGATAGCCTAGCCGTGTATGTTATATTGGACTCCCAATCTGTGCACTGTTTATCGTATGGATTTCTAGGAATCTGCACAACTGAACGTCAACAACAAAGTGGAAGTCTAATTCAAAGTGCAATTTGTGCAGACGAACTGCTGACATTAGCATGCTGTAGTTACAGTTGACAGCTAGCGATTTTGCTGGAAGCGATGTGACACAATGCGGTTGACATATAGTCATAGGTGTAATTGTGAAGAAGATAATATCACTTACCTCGCCATCACCATCATCATCTAGATCGTCAAACTCGCTATCCCATCCATCAGAAGAATTGCCATCACCTGTAAACAAAAAGAAGAAGAGTCATTAACTTTAGAAATCAGACGTAACTGAAGATCCACTCTGTGCAATTTTGTAAAGAAAGAATTCTGCTTCAATCAAAAAATAAATCGCTGCCTGTTATTAGTGCCACCTATTGTTAGTTGTGGATGATCCAATAACAAAATAACACTGCATAGTAATATCATCACTATATGGTCACAGATTTCAGATCTAGTTGTCTTTACAGAGGAAATTATAATCCACACTGCAAAGCTTATCATGCATTTGTCTTCTTTATCATTCAAATATTTGAATAAGGCATACATAACTTACAATCATCGTGATGGTAGTCTTTGGTGACTGGGGGCGGTGGGGTTTTCTGAACAGGAAGTTTTACTGGGAACTTCATCTTGCTGTGAAAAGAATAACTTGGGCATTTCAAAATCAACTGTGTGTGTGTGCGTGCGTGCGTGCGTGCGTGCGTGCGTGCGTGCGTGCGTGCGTGCGTCCATGCATGTGTGGGAATTTCACTATTCTTGATTATTATAGATTTTGTGGCTTGGCATCAAAACCTGGTATGTAACAACTTATCTTCTGCCTGTTATTAGTGTTAAAGGACAACACACCTTTTGTATAGACATTTTAAATTGAGCTTCATTTATACATCAGCGGTTAGGCTATAATAGACAAAGATATGTAATAGGATAACATATATATACTATATGTGTATATTATATATATATATATATATATATATATATATAAGAACAGTAGTAGGTGCAAATAAACTTACCCTGTGGAACTTTTTGTTTTCTTTAAACAGTCGGCTATTAACCTGCAAAATTACCATATTTCAATTAGATACACACAGTGAGGATCGAACATGTCATTAAAGGGAGTATTGTACAGTAAAGGCCCCCGCACACGGTGAGCTTCGTGCTCAGCAGGAACCTGACCGTGTGCAGGGTCGATTTCACTGAGTTTTCGGTCTCGCGAGGCGGTGAGGAAAATATCTGCCGTGTTTGATAATTTTGATCTCGCGAGACTGACAACTCGGCGTGTGCGGGGGTGTGAGGTTCCTGCTGAGCACGAAGCTCACGCTCCGTGCTCAGCACGAACCTCGCCGTGTGCGGGGGCCTTAATACAGGATAGAATATGCACGTATGCTTATATTGTCTCAGGCTACATGCAATACACGCACTGCGCTGCTGGGTTCTGGAATGAGTCGTGGTTCATGAGCTGTCTGGTCATACTGGAATGTTTTGGAGAATCTACATACTCTGCAAATATACTCTGCAGCAGAGAATATACCAACGAGTACAATGCAATAGCCGGAGAGTACAAAGCCATAAGCCTACGGCTTTATACTATCTGGATAATTATACAGCTTCAGAGAAAGATTAGGGTTATGCAAGTGGTGTCACCTAGCGTTTGATAAAAAAAAAACTGCCAATGCTTAGCTCTCTAATACACAACACACCTATAGGGAAGGTATTGAGCGAAGCTTGCAAGTGTCTGGTATCTATCCATCCATCCAAGACAGGGAATATCATTTATCTACGTTCCTATAATTACTAGGATTTCTAACCAGTGCTTGTAAAATCTTTAGAAGCACGTATGACTCGGCACCCGACGCATGGACTGTAGCAATTGTCATTAAATATGTATGTTTGTTATGGTTCATGCTATTTCTTACAAATATTTAACAAATCAATTGACCTACACAATATGTATTATAGGCCCTCAAACTTAATGTGCGAAGTACAATTACTGACGAAAGTGGTGTTGTTACCTTCGGAACCTGATTGGCAGCTCACGCCACATTAACAGTACACCTTCTTCTAGCTCCTGTTTTAAATAAAATATATTAAAACAATTAAAACTGCTACAATATGTAATACTCTAACTGTACCTTCAAATAGAAACAGACCATACCTGAACTATGTTTACAGCAGATGAAAAATGGACTACCGTATACACTAGCTACCGGACTACCTAATCGCTCAGGTGAGATAAATGATAATTATTAATAATATAATCATAATGAGCTCATAAGCAGCAATTAATCTACACATTTATTATTAGATTTAGCAGATGCAGTGTTACCATTATTATGAACCTTCAGTTCAATTATTTACTCCTGATAGGTTCATGATATTGTGGATACGCTACTCACGTACCAATAGTTTTGGGCCGGTGATCTGTCTCTTTTGAAAAGCACCTATGCAGCACTCGCAGTCATTCTGTCAAATATACATACCACTGTTACATAATTTTTACTGTTACATAATGTTACACACTATTACATACTTTACATACTGTTACACACTGTTACATAATAGGCATTAATTCTTTATTACATTAGGAGGAATTTGTTTTTATGCACTCCTGGGTATGTCAGTGCCTCTGCCGGCCTGTCGTGCCTAATAGATATAAAATCGGCGCACACGTCCTCCCTGTGTGCGTATAGGCGCATTTACGACTGTCTGCACGCGTTGGTGTATGCGTGCGTGTATGTGCGTGTGCGTGTATATGCGTGCGTGTATGTGCGTGTGCGTGTCTGGCTGTCCGTCTGATGCGCGTGGGTGGTTCACCGACCTGCATTTCTGCGTGCGTGCGCGGGTGCGCTGGTGCGCTGGTGAATGAATGTTTGCGTGCATGCGGGCTTGCGTGTGTGCATTAGTGCGTGCGTGCGTGCATGTGTGTATGCGGGCGCCTGTGTAACTGGGTGATGCACCTACCTACGTGCACGCGTGCGTGGGTGTATCAGTGTACGCGTGCATTCGTGTACTGGCGTGTTCGTGTTGGCTTGTCTAAAATCACTAGAAACAGGGTTATATGTAAAGTTCATCAAACATGCGTTGCTAAAAGCAAAAGTAACGATATAAAGCAAAATGAGCAAAAGCAATGACCTAACAGCTAGGCTGGCCCGCATAGGTAGCTGCCTAGCTGTCTCAATGTTTATGTATTCTCTACAGTGGCGGATCCAGGACGGGGGGCGCAGCTATTATTTGTCCCCCACCCTATCTATCACAAAATCCGCACTCTCTAAAATGAAATCCTGACTGCGCAGTTGCGCCCCCATCTCAAAATCCATATCAAAATCCCCCTATCTCAAACTGCTCTATCGATTAATAATCCCACGTAAATGCCGTTCAAATGCCTCGCACAAATTCACAGAAAGATAGTCTAGACCTATCTCTAGAGTAGAGTCTAGATCTGTCTCCAGAGCACAGACTAGATCTATAACTAAATCGATCTTTCTGTGAGTTATGCTTAGTGGTGTGCGTGCATAACCCCGCTGCCTGCCCGTTTGTGTGCGTGCAGGCGTGCGTGTGTGAATGCATCGCATATGGTGCGTGTTGCTCATAGGGTCTATGTCCCCCAGGGTACTGCCGGAACGTACCCTGGTCACTATTTGATATGGTTAGGGTTAGGATTAGGGTTAAGGTTAGGGTTAGGGTTAGAGTTAGTGTTAGGGTTAGGGAGTAGGCGACTCCCTAGACTCGTTAGTGGAGTAGGCGAGGTACGGTCTAGCATATTAGATAGTACCAAGGTACGTTCCGGTATACCGGACCGTACCCAGGGTACGTTCCGGCAGTACCCCGGGGGACATAGACCCTCTCAGCGTAAGTGTTGTATACCTGTCTGATAACGTGTGCGTTTACCTTGTTCTTACCTAAAATAGGCCTTTGTTCCGCCATAGGATTGTGGCGGCACGAAAGTCTGGCTACACGACAACCAATAGTCGGTTGACCAAATAGAACTCTTTTTTTTTATTCCATCTCCGTATTATTTTATACTTCGCCTTACTTCATTATCGTGATATGAACCGATCACACGCTGTTATCTATGATAGAGAAAAATGATCAGGAGTCCGTAATAGAAAATGGATTTTTAATTTTTTTGATTTTTTTAATTTTTCTATTATGGACTCTTGAAATGATGCATCAGTTATCAACGCTGTAATCGTGTACACCATGTAGAACACAAGCACTTGGACCATTTCAATATTAAAATGACGGTAAATAAACACGAAATGTATTTACTACGAAATTCTTAATGTTGATCTATTCTCGTTTCGCCTGTTGTTGGTAACAGGTTCCCGTAAATGCAGTTCAGACGCTCCTCCGTAACACGCATTTTCGTACGTGTGTCTCCGTGCGAGTATGTATGAATACAATGTCATGGTGTGCATATATGTTCGTGTATGGCATAAGCACACGTATGTATTCACGCAGGTCGCCATGGGTGTGTGCACCCGCCCCGTGTGCAGCTAGTCATTCATGCATCGCCTCGTTGATCACCAGGCATACTATAAGGAAACACTGAGCGAAGTTTTTATGACAAGGTTACTGTCCAACCATAAATGAAATGTGACATAGACGTGGTAGAAAGGAATAAGTACTGCTACAAAACCTATAGCTATACACATACAGTGTAGAAGCAACTATTACTATAATTTTAATACTTATGATTATGATATATATTAGCATGAAAAATACTGAGTACACTGTTCAAAAACAACTTGTTGGTAATTAGAAGAGTAACGAATACCATTGCATCGCACCTATTGCAACTAGGGGCCACAATTGAACGCGTAAAATATATAGAATATAATATATAGGTCACACAAAACTTGTACTGAGACACGTACCAATTCTTGAACTTGCGTAATAGGGCCAGTATAGTGCTATACATAGCTCCAGTTAGAAAAATCCATATACATTTTTTCACCCAGTTCGTGTGTGTATAACACACACATATGCAACAACTATATGCACGCATCTATACGTGCGCATACACACAGTCTCTCTTCTAACTGAAATGACACAAATACTCTACTGACCTAGTCTATACACTACAGAACCTCTGTCTACGTATAATCGCCTCTTCATGGGCCAGTCACACAAGTATCAGGCAATTAGAGTAGTGCCTAGTGGTATAACACATGACTTTAAACCTAACCCTTGACCAGACACATTACCAGACTATATATTTACCTTCACAATATACATAAAGGTATTATCACGGATAGCACGCTGTTATTGTTACTAGCTAGGACACACAGGCACACAAGCACGCATACGTGCACACGCAAGCACACATGCACGCCGCCACACACTGACGAACATGAAAGCTGCATGGATATTTGAAGGAATGTATAATATAGAGATATTATTATATATTCAGGGGTGAATAGTAATAGATTATTTGAGATAGATTAGATTAATAAGATTATCTATAAGACTATCTAATAAAGAAGACTATCTAATAAAGAAGACTATCTCATAGATTATCTATTATTATTCACTCCTGATATATTATTATATAGAGATCCCTATGTTATACACACCTGATATTTGTGCACACACAGTGATAACACACACAGTGCAGTACACTTACATACACGACTGGTGAAGCGTATGCTGAACACATCTGTACGTGCACATGCACACGTGCACACACACACATCTGTCTCCCACACAGTACAGCAGGATTGTAACCCGAGCTCCTGCATGAACACTGCCCCTTACCCCGTTGGCTGTGTGCTCTGTGTAATAGCATAGTGATCAAGAGTCCATAATAGAGACTATAGATATAGATATATGTATAATAGTCTCTATTATGGACTCTTAATAGTGATAGCTCTATCAGTGTAGCTCCCCTTCGTACACGTAGCGGGAGGGAAGGGGCTACACCGGTAGAGCTAAGCCGGTAGACTACAATTAATATTGCTGTCAAAGTTTGACCTGGAGGCGATGTAAAAAAAAATCAACACTACCATGAATAATAATTTTTTTAGTAATATTATACGTAATTGTAATAATTAAATGTGCGATGTTTAGTGCTGTAGATTCGTCAATTTCAGTGCAGTTCATCATGTATGTGACAACTGACAACCACAGTATTTTCAATGCTGTCTTATGCATAATTTAGTCTGGTAAAAGTCTATAGTGTATAGAATGATAAGAAACTGATATTCACTACGTTTATATGACCTACTATCGGCATATATTGGCATATTATATATATATTGGCATATATCGAACGACACTTCGAAAGATGAGTTCTGGTCGGCCTAACACGTAAGTATCGTTGTATCAGGGGTTAATAATGACAAACCTTGTCTCCTGTCATTATTAACCCCTGGTTGTATCTATGTTACGAATAGCTCTAGTACTATAGCCCTGCGCTCCGCCACAGGCGTCACAGCGCAGGGCTATATAGTACTAGAGCTATGTTACGAATATCTACATTGCTAGTTACGTACATTAATTGTATCTATATGTTACATATTATCAAGAGTACATAATAGAGATATGAGTATAACTGTACCTCCATTCACTCACTCACCTGTCTCAGCCATGCTACCACGTCCGCTTCACTCCACCCTTCTATCTCGCCAACAGCCGGCAAGAACACCCTAGACATGGTCCTGCTTTATAGATTACTAGGTCACAAGCGCTGCGTACGTCTCGCTTCGTTGAATGTCGATCAGAGACCTATATTATTTCTTCTTCTACCAGGATCCCCAACGAAAGTTGCTAAGGTTTTACGCAGCGAACCGCGTCTCGCGTAAACCTATGTAATCTCTTAGTTCACACACATAACGATCACATATTTCGCTTATCTGAAATCTACAAGGCGCAGCGAAAATATACGCTAGACACCGCACATGAGCTTACGTGCTGGGTCGCGCAGACGAGTCATGCCGCTATGTCACGTGACAAAACTTCCGTCTCGACAAACGCCGATTAACGCCGATTAATAAACGCCGATTCGTAGAACACGACGTTTGTGGCTTTGTGGCTTTTATACATATTTGCAGTGGCTTGCGATGTGCTCATCCCACACACATTCCAGGTCAATTATGATTGTATCTCGTATCTTGTATTTGCAGATCTCTGCAAAGCTGATCAATAATTATATTAGGATTCAGATATCGATTATATTATGATTAGAAGACGATAGGAATAAATAATAATAATAATAATAATAATAATAATAATAATAATAATAATAATCCAGGGCCGTAGCTAGCGGGGAGGGGGGCAAGGGATCAGTTTCCCCTCAGAGAAATGTAGATACTGTACATGTGATCAATAGAGGTCACCTTCCCAGAACACAACCCGCGCGTGGCTTTGCTCCCAGGCAAAATGGGTTATAAATATAATATTAATAATAATAATAATAATAATAATAATAATAATAATAATAATAATAATAATAGCAGTAGCAGTAGCAGTAGCAGTAGCAGTAGCAGTAGCAGTAGCAGTAGCAGTAGCAGTAGCAGTAGCAGACTAGCAGTAGCAGTAGCAGTAGCAGTAGGCGTAGCCAGTAGGCACTCAGTACACCAGTATGCAAGTAAGGCGCGCTAGCAACTAGTACCGAGTGAGCCAGTAGCGGTAGGCCTAGCAGCAAGTAGCCGAGTACGTCATGAATATCGGCGTGAAGTAACCACGGTAGCCGGGCTAAGCAAGTAAGCAAGGTAGGCAGTAACGCCGCTAGTACCAGTAGCGGTAGCTGGTCGGCGGAAGCAGTAACAGTAGCAGCAGCTATAGTAGACCGTAAATAAATAATGTCTGAATGTGATCCCCGCGCGTACAGTGATATGACGGGTCATGGCTAACTTGTCGGCAATACAGGAGCCGCAGTGACAATCTGACACGAATAATAATAATTACGCTTAATTATATAATAGGCCAAATTTGCCAACGAGATACGAGCCGGGTGTCTGCAGCTATAGGGGGGAAGGGGGCCTCGCTAGTGACTGAAAGATGCTATGGGTAATGGCAGGAGTAGATAATAGGGAATTCCCTATTATCTACTCCTGGTAATAGGTAGCAATCGGCTGTCTAGCTTGACAGACTGTGATAACCCCACACGCGCACACGCGCACGCACGCACGCACGCACGCGACGGCAGCGCACGCACCACAGCACGCGCACGCGCGCGCGCGGAGAGAGACCTGAGAATAATTTTCGAACACCGCGTCTATACAATGGGGCTCTAGGGGGCGTACGAACATGCTAGCTGTTACAAATTTTGTGTGCGGTCTTTGGTGTTTCGAAGGTTCATGTCAATTCCCATACTTGTTCATATTGCAATGTATATGTTTTAAGGAAGACCCAGAAAGAACCATTCTCAGCAAGTGGTCTCCGGTACAGGGTGGCGCAGCCGCGCATTTTATTCGTACATATATATAGCGTGACATCCGGGGCGGGAAGAGGATGGATACCGCGTGCCGTGCCAGTCTCGGCCCAAAATAGGTAAATATTCAGCTGCCAGGATTCATAGGCCACTTGTGTATGTATCGGCCATCTAGTTGGGGCAAATGCAATGAGGTTCCTCATTACATCACTATAATCACCCGTGCGTGCATTTCCACTCGCGATGAGTGCATACGATTAATACAATTCGATGTCTCGGCGTATTTAACATCCGGGCCAAGTCGAGTGAAACAAATCTATATAAAATAATTCGTAAGATTTATACCTAGTAATGTGAAGGCAAGAACCAAACTAGCTGGTTTTCTTCTTACTAGGGGAACAGCTAGTAAGGGACGTCTACTGGTGTGTCAACTTCAGCATAGGCCTACATTGGCTATTTAAAAACGTTGGCTGAAAAGTTGTAGAGGGCGAGAGAGACGGAGGGTAGTAAAGGCCGAAGAGAAATTGAGCGCGATATGGACCGAGCGCCGAGAGAGAGAGGGAGAGATAGAGAGAGAGAGTAAGAGAGAGAGAGAGAGAGAGAGAGAGAGAGAGAGAGAGAGGTGCGAGAAAAGGAAAATGGAAGAGGGCAGTAGGCAGACAAAAATGTGTGTGTGCTAAGGCAGATAAAGAAAGGGCAAATCGCTGAGCTTGCATATAGCGTGGAACAGCTTTTGTCTCGGCAGCACCCATCAAACTCGCCTTTCATTTAACGTGTCAATATATGCGAGCAGCCGACGGCTGCGACCTGCTTGGCAGCAGTAAACTACAGCTGTTGGCTGCTCGTGAATGTGCACGAAACGCACACGTGCGCGCACGAAACGAGAGAGCGAGAGAGAGGGGCGCGCACGCAAGAGCACGGGCGAGAGAAGGGGGAAGAGAGAGAGAGGGGGAGAGCACGTGGAGTGAAAAAAGGGTCGAGAGAAAGAGGCCAGGGAGAGACAGTACGAGAAAGGGATTGTTTGTGTTTGTGTATGTGTGTGCGAGCGCGCGCGCGTGAGAGGGAGAGGGAGAAAGGGAAGAAAGAAAGTGAAAAAACGGTCAATTAAAACAAAGCGGAAATCGCATCGTAAAGATTCCTTGCAAAAACCGCTCCGGTTGGATCAATCCGCCCGGTTCAATGCCCTCGCACATGCAACTGCTACTGCTTGCACCGTCAACATCGAAAATAGAGCTTCAGTGCACGCATCACTCACGTGTAGAGGATGAGCACCGTAAGCACATGTCGGCGCTAGGTCGCAGTGTTACTATGAGCGAGCGGTGTACGTGATGATGACGGCGAGCGCGGGATCGTGTGTTCAATGTTTACCATCATGAATTTTCTTGCTCGCTTACAAAAATGTGCATGCTTCCAACCACGTGCTCGCGTAATCGCCCGTACTCCTGTGCTCCCGTGATCCAGTGATTGCGTGCTCCTGCCTCCGTATTTCAGTGCTCCTGTATTGTCGTGTTTCCGCATATTTCTGTGCTCCCGTAGTCTAGCCCCTTGCTCCCGTACGTAGTCTTGTTTTTCCGTTCTCCCGTATTTCCAAGTTCCCGTACTCCTGTATTCCTGTGCTCTCGTATTCCCGTTCTTTGTTATTCGCGTATTCCCGCAATCCTGTTCTCCCGCGTGCTCCTGCCTCCGTATTTCAGGGCTCCTGTGTTGCCGTGTTTCCATGACCCCTTGCTCCCGTATGTCTGTGCTCCCACGCACTGGCAGTTCCAACAAATCAGTAAAAATATAACAATGTATAATAAACATATTCTTCTGCGGTAAAAAAAACTCCTCACTGCAAAAGAAAAGCCTAACGTCGGCGCAAATGCGGACTCTCTGCACTACGCTGCGTACTCCCCATATATACATAATCCCGGATACATACTCCCCATATATACATAATCCCGGATACATACTCCCCATATATACATAATCCCGGATACATACTCCCCATACATGATCTCGGGGATTATGTATGGGGAGTACGCAGCGTAGTGCAGAGTCAGCATTCGCGCCGACGTTAGGCTTTTCTTTTGCAGTGAGGAGTTGTTTACCGCAGATATAGGAGAGTTATTAGTGGTGCAATAAGATTTAATATACATTATTTTTATTTTTATTGATTTGTTGGAACTGCCAGTGCTCCCATGCGTAGCCCCTTGCTCCCGGAGTTCTGTTTTCCCGTGCTCCCGTATTTCCACATTCCCGTGCTTTGTTGCTCCCGTATTCCCGCGCTCCCGCGGTCCCGTGATTTCGTATTCCCGTACTGCCGTAGTTACATGCTCCCGTGCTTCGACGCGACCGTATACTGCCGTACTTCTATGTTCCCGCGGCTACCGCGCTCCCGTGCTCCCGTAGTCCCGCGCTGCCGTGCCACTGTACCACAGACTAACGGATATCCGTTAGTCTGTGACTGTACTGTGCTCGATATCGATGAGATACCTATAATCTCTGTATTCCCGCTGCCAATGCGCGCGTGTGTGTACGTGCGAGCGTGTACGCGCATGCGTTTGTTTATAAGCAATCAGCGGTCGAGTGTTTTTACAGTACCAATAATAAACATCATCAGTTAAATGTAGAATAATCTAATCGATGAGTGGTGATGATTTTTTATCGATCAAGGATATCTCAAACTGGTGCAGGAATAACAACATAAGAGCAGCATTATATCAATATGACAGATATACATATAATAGAGATATTATCAGCAGTGAATAATAATTGATCTATTATTATTCACTCCTGATATTATATCTCTTCATGATTAACTACGCATGTATCTGTGCTATTAGCCTATTAGTGTTCTCGACATCCATGCGCGATGGGTATTATATTTCATCAGGAGCACATCATTGTATATGCAAATTTACCCACTGTTACATCTGGTTCACTCATGTTCAGTCGGTTTAACTGTGTAATAGCAGGTACATATGTATCTTAGTAAACTTTGCAAATATTGCGCTGGAAATTGGGAATGAAGTTGCGATTTATCAGTAAAAGTTTAGCGTGGGTTCCCCGTGGTGATAGAGCGCAGGTGACATAACGAGCAACCGACAGATGATACATTGTTACTGCCACCGTAGAAGTAATGGTATTCCCTGCAGACCTGATGTCACTGACCTGCGAGTTCCTTCTTCGCTTTCTAACTTTAGCGACCCCCCCAAGTAACCGATGAGAACTTGCATGCCGAACTAGGTCACACCACACAGGGAGCGCCCCATGCACGAAGCCTTGAAGGCTGGCCCGTCACCGCCGCACCCGCCCGTCACCCCGCCGGGCCCCGACACGGTAGCTATAAGTATGGACCCGCCACTGCTCAGCCGCACTAGTAGCACTACTCGTCAGCATCGTGTTCTACAACGAAATCTCCGCTAACGTTCAATCGTACGTCGGTATAGCAACAAATTAGTACAAACACTTGGTCTATACACTCTTGTGTGTAGATGTGCCTGTGCAACAAGTGCATTCTTTGGAGATCGAGCAACTTCACGGCAGTGGACCTGTACAAACTGCTGCCTCTTCACTGGCGCCGGAGTTAATTGGTTACCAGATAGCTTATCATCTGTAAATATATATACATACATCCGAATGAAAGATTTATAGTCAACTGTAAAAGGTAAATATCCATTTGGTCTGTGATTGTAAAAAGTTGCGTTTATCGCAGTAGCTGTCTCTTGTAGTTCCTCTTTCGTGCGCTCCTTTCCCGCTCTCGTTCTTTATCTTTATATCGATCTACATCTCGTCGTATCTTCCTTCTCTTCTTCCCCCTCTCCATTTCCTGTCTCTTTCTTCTCTTCTCTCTCGTCTGCCTTTCACTATCTACAGAATTTTACTCTTCCTCCGTTTCTCTCTTATTGCGCGTGTGCGTGATATTTATTTTTAGCAATTAAGCGACTTTTCCTGGTTGTATAAACATGGTGAACTGTTGCTCTATATATTCGCATATAGCCGAATACTGCAAAATTCTGCTTGCAATTATGCACAGTCGCATAACTATAACATTAATAATATCAGGAGTGTCATAATATATATATATATGTCTATAAATGTTTACATGTCGTAATATGTCTATATTATGACGCTTCTGATAATATCAGGAGTAAGATAATATAGGTGATATGATGGTATATGATATAACCTATATTATGACGCTTCTGATAATATGATTCTAATAATATTCACAGTATGAGATTTGACTTGTATCGATGGCTTTCTTAATTTATGTGTCTGCCCGTCTGTGCCAACGACATCTCTCCGCGATATCTCTCGGGTCTCTCTGTTCCCTCCATAACGCCATGTCTCCGATCTTGACTTTTTTCGTGATATTTTCTTGTTATACCGCCGATATTGATATATTCGCGCAAACCAGCACGTGCGACACTGGCGTACATAGAATTCTTCTGCTAATAAGGCTCGGGTTAGAAATGGGATGATTATGTATGGGAATTATGTCTATACTGGTTTAGGCACTTTGATGTACTGCACGTGGTCTGTTGTGCGTACGTGAAAACTACCTTCATGCAAATATTTACGTCTATTTATTGGGGTATATTTTCAGAAAACAAAGTACGAAAAGCCTAAAACAAAGACTTAAAGAAATATCAGCGAAAACGTACCCCCTGACGAAATACCCGTATCCATAGCGACATACCCGCGCCACTTCTACAGGTTTACTCGCATTTATCCTAAATTCAAGCCAGCAAGATGGTGCTAGGAGAAGCAGCTGAGGTCGAGGTTACAGACGTTGCAAGGTCAGCAGCTTTAACGCGGCTCCGTCCACGAATGTTATTATGATAAAATAGTTACTCACATATGGTTTTACTGTGCGCGGACATCTAGGGCACGTGTGTAAGGAACGTCTGTAAAGAATGAATGTACGTAACTATATGTAAGGTACTTTTGTCAAGAAGGTATGTAAATGAATGTATGAGTGTGTACTTGGCGTTGGGAAATTCTTGGCCATCAATAAATTTATACTAAATAAAACCGGCGGGTGTATTGTGTGATCTATGTGTGCCGCACGTGAAATCTAAATGTATACACTAAGTATTTACGTACGTTCATTATTTGTTTATAATGTTTAATACTGGTGTACCTACTATTTTAAAGGGAAAGGACATCATCCGGAAATGATGGTGCCAAAGCTGTAGAAGTCATGCGAAAGCAAAAAGTAGCCCAAGTTGAAGCTAAGAAGAATAAACAAGATGCACCGAACAAAGGATGGGGCATGTTTGAGAGCCATGAGAAATTCACAGAACTTCACCTATGTTAGATACCACGCGACTGTGTAACGTCCATAGTTATGTGTAGTAAGATGACGAATCAAAAATGATGTTTTTTTGTGCGCTCCGTCGCGAGGTTCAGTAGATTCACACGTTACCAACGGACGACAATTTATATTTTTTGACTAGATAAAGAGATTGTCATCGTAGATTGTCATTTTTGTAATTATATTAGGGGCCGTCAACAGGAATCGAAGGCATTGAACACCCGGAATGCGATTTTTTCGTTATAAGGACGCCATATTTGTATCTCGCGTAATTATAAAGATCCGTCGTAATTTTCTAAGTAAGATATCGGCAACCAGCATTCGCTGCCACGATCATCATTGACAAACACGTGTACAGCATGCTCGTCAGCTTGTTCGCTCTGAGGGACGGGAGCGCCAGAGAGGAAAGTGACGGCAAACCAATCTTTTGCTGTGACTTGCGGAGGACCTCCCGAGCTTTCCCCCAGACTGGAATCTTGTTTACCATCCGCATGAGAGTACTGCCGTCGACTGACTCCAACTTTTTTGTGTCCATAGCTTTCAGATCGTCTGCACATAATAGTAATAATAACAGATTAATTATAATAATTGCCTTTACGCCCTTGTTCTCCATTAGTGTGACGATTCTATTTTAGATTTACCGAAAAAGCACATGTCTTAAATATTTGGATATGTCTTGAAATCCCTACCAATCGTGTTCATGCCGGCGATGAATTGTATTGCTGTTACAGTAGATTTGAACCTTTTCGCTGATATTTCTGCTTTAAAAGGTTAGCCTTAGTAGGTTAGCCGCTGTAATCATCTTATTGTTAATTGTGCATGTGTGTAGTTATTCATAGTACTACTTTTTTTATAGAGTAATATTCTATCTGCATTAAATAAGTAATGATTTGTTTTTAGTGATTCCATCTTGCACTTTCACTTGCGTATATTATCACTCAATTATAGAGTTGCATCTCTTCCTAACACGATGCAGTTACTCAATCGTAAAATATTCGAAACCATATTCGATCATTAGTCGGTGGTTGGGGGAGGGGGTGGGGTTAAACTAAAACTATCAAAAGAACTCATGCGAATATACAAACGCCAATAATAATAATAATTCTATACTATCGATTGTTGAAAAGCAAATAACGTCCCTGACAAATTATAATAAAAATTAATAACATCCTTTCTTTCTATCCGTGCAAAATGTCGCTGAGAAATGTTTTCGAATGCTAATGCCTATATTATTGTACATGCGTTATATATATATATATATATATATATATAGAGAGAGAGAGATAGATATACATATACGTACATACATACACATATCAAATCGTTATTGTTTGCTGCGACTCGGCACTCACGCACGGCTTCCGTAACAAAAAATGGGCATGCTACTTCCTATGACTCTAACACGACTGCGATATAGACCTGCTACTCTTGCCGTCCGATACTACTGCTTTGGTACGAGCTGCCAGCACTTCATTGTCACTGCGATACGATCCTACAACTCCAATACCACTGCGATACGACCCCTACGATTTTGACGTCACTGCGATACGACCCCGACGACTTTGACGTCACTGCGATGCGACCCCTACGACTTTGACGTCACTGCGATATGACCCCTACAACTTTGACGTCACTCCGATACGACCGCTACGACTTTGACGTCACTCCGATACGACCGCTACGACTTTGACGTCACTGCGATACGACCGCTACGAGTTTGACGTCACTCCGATATGACCCCTACGACTTTCACACCACTGTGCTATGAATCACTACCACTCCAATACCACGGTGATACGACCCCCTACGTGGTCGCGGCACTCGCATGCGATTATTATATTACAGACATATACAACAGGTATTATACCCGTATTATAGACCCGAAAATATTCCAATTTTAATTTAGTAATTAATTCGCGTTTGATTGAGACAATATATAGCCAACGTGAGGTTTTAAGAAATGAAGAGGTGATGCGTAGTAAAGTCTGCACTCACCAAGACCTATCTCTGCGTCCGTAACGGCCGCGTCTTGTGGGGTCAGCACTTCGGCTACGGCTGTATCCCTCCGACAGGGGGCGCTGGTGCTATTGCGCGTGTAACCCCACTCGCACTGACATCTATAGCTGCCGATGACGTTCCTACAGACCTCGTGTTCCCCGCATGTAGAGTTCATTGATAGACACTCATCCTCATCTGTGGGCAGAGAGGCAAAACATTAATTAATTAAACAGACAGCTGCGAGGTTAACACGGTAAACACGTGGGTTGACGATGCGCGGGTAAGGAACGGGGAGCGTGTGTTTAATGCTTGGTTACCGCGTGTCTACGGATGGCTACGTTTGGTTAACGACTGGTGCTCGTGTGGTTAATTAATGGTTAACGTTGCAATACGAAGTTAATGGGTGGAAAATGTGCTGGTAACATATTATATCGTCAACAGATAGATACACAGGTACACGCGTTCACCGACCTATGCAGGCTGCAGCCGCCATGCTCCAGCGGTAGCCTTTCTCCGCGCATGCGCAGGTGTGGTTGATACGATTTTCCATCAGATGCCGCAGGTTATTGTTCCGGTCGAGATCGAGTGCGCACGTGCCGTCTGCGACGTTCTTACATGGGTTAAAGGCACTCTGCCAGCAGTCGGCGACGCTAGATGGCGCAGTCTCTAACCTCCCACAACACACGTCTGTAAGATTTGCGATAGGTTGCTCTGAACTGTAGTAAACAAAATCTTAGCGATTTTGCAGGGTTCTGGGAAATTACTGAGACCGGTAATCAGTAGATATCTATAGATAAATAATGCTCCATCGTACTCTTTGGTTTTATGAGCCATGCGATCTCGTATATACAGCCTTCGAGTGAACCAATATTCAAACATGAGGAATTTGTTTAGTGATATATATAGGCGAGTGAAAAGGAAGACTCTTTTGGAGTAACTTCATATTCGTGTGAATTAAACGCAATGAAAGCAATGTCTTCAATATTGTGGTCTCAACCCTATATATATCGTTGTTAAATATTTTTCTATCTACACTCCATTTACTGCCTTTCTTCTTAAAGAACAAGGATATAACTGGCACCAATGCCGTACATGGCACGCACACACAAAAGGGATATAATATCTGAAGCGAACATGAGTCTACCATACTTAATTTGCAGCAGCATACATGTTTGTAGCGGCACATGAGTAAATAATTGACCTATCAGTCTGAGAAAGATAAGCACGCCTCCTTCGCGTATTATTTCTCGATTGGTCGGTCAAGCTTGATCCATTTATACGTGTCATTGACGGGTGTACGCCAAATTGTCTACTTCGCGGAATTTCGTTTCGCTAAGCAGCGTCTTCGGAGCGCACCTATCAGCCCTACCTGTCAATCACTCTAAGCTGATCGGTAACTTGAGGCTCACCCGGACAGAAGCTGTGTAGGGCGCAGTGAAAGGCATCCGATCGTAGTCGCGGGAAGTCGGTCTGTCCGCGAAAGTCACGCATTTTCTCGTGCTTGGTGTCCGGGTAGCCCATGCCGAGGTGCCAATCACAACCCCCGTCACGCCCTATACGGTCAGTGACGAAGCGAAGTTCTTCTGCCTGCTTCATAGTGTGCCAGCAAAGATAGTACATACCGGTCATCTGAAAGCATATAGTTGTAGTGCAGGCCACATGACGAACAAGATCTGATGGACCAAGTAAATGGACCGTTTTTTCTGTTACCTACTGCTATTATCATTGCGTGAGAAATAGACGAATATTTCATGTTTAATATTTAATCAACACGAAGGTCTACTCCATGAAAGATTTTCTGTAAGCGCATATAATTAATCATTAGCTTCCGGCCCCCCAAGCCTATCCGTTTATATTTATTTGTTTGCATTTTACATTGTTTGTTAACATTGTTGTTCTACACGCGTGTGCTTTCATGATCGCCCGGTCGTACAACGTGCTGCCACCTACCAGCTGTCGAAACTCATCCAGCGGGCCGTCAGAGACCGTCGGCGCCTCCGTACGCACGCCACCGCCGCTCAACAACGTCACGTACTCCGTCGCCATCTTAAACCAGACGAGCGGCGACAGCGCCTTCAGACAATAGAGGACGCTGCGCTCACACTGTGCGCTCACTAGAGGGTGTAGCTGCCGCAGCCGTGGCACCGCGAAGCCCGCGCGTAACTCCTGAAAGGTGGCGCCACCATATACGTGTCAATTCGCGGGGGCAGAAATAGGATCAAGGATGTATCCGTTTTGCGCTAAGCTGTTACGCGGCAATTTCAAACATAAAGCAAGCTAGCGCGCTACATAGACCTTGTGATGTCCTTGGAAAATGTGGTGCATGTTTTTTGCAATCGGAGACCGATCTATTTTGAGTAGAAATCTGCGTTGGTATGTCTCTCTCTCTTTCTCTCTCCCCCCTCTCTCTCTCTCTCTCTCTCTCATATATATATATATATATATATAATATAACTATATAATATATACGGCCCTGGTATGTATTAGTTTTTTTGCATGTTAAAAATATAGAGCAAGCTTGTAGGGTAATCCAGAAGTAAACATGTCTACATTTTGAAACCGATTTATTTCTTATAGGAATCTTTGTTGATATTAGTTTTTCTTACACATTTACAGAATCTAGCGATCGAGCTTACCACGTGATACAGACCTTTGGATGTCCCTTGGAAAATCGTACATCGCTCCCGAACAGTTTAAACGTTCTCAACACCATAGCCGTGTCGGATATCACGTCCGTCAGGGGGCGCTGTCCTCCCAGATTGTAGCTGATGTTATCGTGCGTGAGGTTTCGGTCGACGTAGTCGTCTATTTGAATCATCATGAGCCGGAAGTCGCCATCTTTGCTCTCCACAAGATGCGCTTCTGGCAACACAAACTTGACGGCGCTGGTAAATCTTCTATGTCTGTTCGCAGGGTTGCCACGGTCGCGGACCTATAGGCAGCAACATGCGCAGCTGTCACTAGATATAACACGGGTGTGCCTGTCTAGGAATCTGTCTGCTCTGTCTTGAATATTGCGCCACCTACTGGTTTGATGGAGTACTGCCTACTCTATAAGGGCTCACTCTGATTAGTGGAGATTGGCGTGAATTTGATTGAAGGTTAAAGCGCCAAGCAGGTTTTGTAATGGTAATAATCCAGGCCATACCGCCTTTAATAGGCTCTTTCATGGTACTGTTTTTGAAAGGGTACTCACGTAGGCATTTATCAATTGAGCGTAGCTGGTCGTGGGTCCCTTGAGAACAACAGTGACGGGATCCAGGGCCGTGCAAACCGCTGCGTTTACACAGATAATTGTTAAATATAGTAACCTCACAAGGGATGTACAGCCGATTGCTGCCATTGCTATAAATTACACGGCAATCACCCGTTACATGCGCTCATTGGAATGTTGTCATTTAACTCGTTCCAAAGTAATATAGTATCTCTCTTAGTTGTCGATTATAACACTGTCGATTACCAGTGATTGATTCTAAACGCTGCATTGTTTGTAATTCGATTATCAGAATGTACAATGCGTTCTTTATTCTAGAGCACGTTTATATACCTCAACCCCTGTGCCCTGTCATGGCCCTGACCTAGTGCACACTCGTTTAATAATACCGAGAGCAGGAGCTGTACCATTAGCTGCAATTATGTTATTAACATTAAATGTGTGTGCATGATATATGTATACACCCAGATACATGCCTGTTGCTACCTATAGCAATAGCATTTATCTGCGTTTTGACCAGTAAACGTTAGTACACAATGTATGAGTTTTGAGGGTAATGCAGCAGCATATCGTTCCAAGAATTTGAGTATTATATCACGTATACAATCGCATTACACTAGTATATTAAAGCTGAACTAAGCAGTCACGCAGGAATAGCAATTTATTTACAAATGGTCATAGAAAATAAAGATACTGTCTGCCATATAAATAGTGAAGTTCACAATAATTACGACCATAATCTAGACTGTCTCCAATCCTCTATCCCTATGGCTGCTCCCATAAGCACAATTGCTAACAACGCACTTGGTTAAGTAGACGTTATGACATGACGAAGCATAATCTTTGTGATAAACCTTTACACTTACAATTGCATGTAGGCTTTCATAACACCTACAACTGCACAGCATGCAGTGGCAAATACCACCAGGAATATACCTCCTGAACTATGACACTACCGGTGACAACGCAGGACCTGCTAATATCACCACACAAAGTAAAGTATGTTCACATGTTTTTACGACTGTTATTTACATGAGATGATTAGATCGCACATTCACGTGTTTCATCTATATACCTGATATAAAATCGACAATTATAAAGTTCTGGTTTTGTCAAATGCAAAGAGAATAATCGCTACTATAAGTAACTTGCAAAAAAATTAGAACAGCATTTTAAAGAGATTTTAATTTAGAACCCACCACCAATTGAATAGAAGATAATGACTGCGCGTTCATTTTTGTACACATATATACATATATAGTTGACATTCAACAAAAAATTGTCAAAAATGACAACTGTATGTTAGATGACGGATGTTATCGTAACATAATTAATAACTTGCAAATTAATTTAATACCTAGCAAGAACATATCTAGCTGGTTAGATTGATGTCTCTGCTGGCTTTCATGTTTAATATGTTTGTCGGTAACTTCATTGTCTTCTAACCCAAGCGCTGCCTGAATAAAACGACGTTTGGCCACTAGGTGGCGGCACCGTTCTGCTATTCCATGGCACGCGTCTGACACTTGGCTGTGGTATGAACTTGGCAGGGCTGATGAGCTGTTTCTGGCTGTGCATGCTAGACACTGCTGGAGCCGTCTCTCCTACACTGTCCACATGCTGAGTGCTTAGCATGAATATATGCCGGCCTGCAGGGAAACACGCACACCGATCGATATACACTACAGTAAAAAACTGCGAGTAAGAACTAGCATTTTCCCAAGTTAGCCTAAACAGGTTCTTACATAAATGGTACTCAGCGCAAATTGAGGCTATTTAGGTTCTTAAATAGGTTCTCATTTTCTAAAGAAAATTCCCAATGTTTTTCATACGGTATGGTTCCCCTGGTTCGAATGTTCATCATTCTACAGACTCTTCCATATGCTGATGTGTAGCCATGGAGATATAAACAATATATATACAGTATTTATGTGTAATTGCAACAATAACAATTCTATTTGATTTTCAACATTGGCCTTTACAGTGTATTAAATTAGAGTGATAGGGCACCTGTGTCTCCAAAAAAGGATCCAAAATGTTGATCTATCTTATTCGCCCAAGTGTACACATCTTTTTATATAGATTTTAGAAAATAAGAACCTGTTTCAAATTTTAGGCTAAACAGGTTATTGTATAGAGGGGGTATAACTGGCAAATTTTAGCCTAACAGGTTCTTACTCGCGAGTTTTCACTGTATATGCACTAGAAATTGTGAAAGTAATAATAAGAAGATAAACTAATTTATGTAGTGGCATAATTATATAATAACTTTATCATCATGATCTTATCTATACAGTACTACTTTACTTTTGCTCTACATCGTGTATATATGTTCATGGTATCACTACACAAATACAAACTGGAAAACAATCTTTCAACAAATTGTGAACGGCTTTAGAATATAAATGCACACGTATGAGAATGCAAACAGTGCACACAACATCTTTCGTGTGGCACCGATTGCACGCTTATTGAGGAATTTGGCACTGCAAGCTTACCATTGCCGGACCGGCCGCGATCTGTGGACGCCCCGATCGTCAGCTTTGCATCCAAGTCACCAACGCTGAGTTGAGGAGGTGCCGAGCAGGGCAGCAAGTTGTTATTGTTTGGAAACTCTTGTAAAAACAATGTGATAACTCATGTTATTACTATTATTATTATTATTATATATGTGTGTGTGTGTGTGTACCTATCTATCACACTAACAATACATGGGACCTTGAAATGCTTCCTTTCAAAACCAGTTCCATTAAAGTTCTGCAAAATATTCATTACCACTGACAATACTACATATAACTACAATAGAGTTCACAATCGCAGGTTACTTCTGCACTGTTTGCTATACATACTTAGCTCTACATGCTTAGCTCTATATGCTTAGCTCTACATACTTAGCTCTATATGCTTAGCTCTCTACATGCTTATAACATTATTGTCTACCTTTGCTCTGTGACTGGGGAGCTTGATTCACAGACTCAGCAGGTTCCAAATCAGCAGACGTGTTAACGCTCTCGTTGCTAGAGAGACCATCCCCCAGACTGCTCCTCCTGTAACACAGGTGAATAACTACCTCAACAACACTAATTATGCCACTTTTAAAACATAAGTATTCACATAATCCCCCTATTATTTAATTAGTTCAGAATTTATATTAAGTTTACATGAATGCTATGCTTGACAGTTCATCTGCTCATGTTTGCTTGCTACCTTGCTTATTGGGGTTATAGATACCTCCGCAGGGTTTCTTCTGAGGAAAATTAGACAACGGCGGTAATGGCCAGTTTGGGGAAAAAACGCACGATGGATTCAAAGGCATGCAGTAGGCACGAATGTGGATTCTGCACACAGACGCAGGGGGAGAGAGGCAGAGGGGGGTTGTGGGGGTCTCCCCCAGCAAAATTAAAAAAATTTGAATGTCTTAGACTGCATTTGAGGCACCCCGAAAATAAAATTTTACCTTTTAGTTTAAATCTTACTCTGTTAGCAGACCTACCAAATCTCACGCTGCGCATTTCGCGGGAGACTCATGCATCTGACCTATCTGGACTTCTTCTCCCGCACTCCCGCATGCCCTACGCATTCACGCAAAAGAAAAGAACCCAAAAAAAGCAGCCCGCGACACCCCTGTTACTCACGTTCGTGGCTCGTGCTTGCTGGCTGGGGTGGCATTGATTGAAGTGTGGGGTGGGGTGGGGGGAGGGGGTAATGCACTCATTGTTACAGTCGCGTGAGCATGTTTATTGCTGTATATGTAGGGGTGGGCACTGCTGGTATGAGAGAGCGACAGCAAAACTTTCCCGGAATCGAGGAAAAAGCTGCAATCGGGAATGACACAGGAGTGTGCCGGCATGCAAAAAGAAACGTTGCTGTAAATTTCATTACGATTTTCCATGTATATAGTCAGAAGCATGTGGTGATCTATTTAGTTTTGGATTGACACTATTTTGACAACGGCGGGTAAATACAGGAACATTTTCACAACGGCGTTGTTAAATTTGACAACGGCGGTGCGCCGCAGTGACTCCTAGGTAGAAGAAACCCTGCTCCGTACACGCAACCAAATCTGTACCTGATTCGTGGGTGTTTCCGTTTCCCTCTGTTGTATGCATGCTCTCTGCTGCACACGAAACTGCATAATGATATCACCATGACGACCATGGAGGAGATACACTTTAGGTTGTTTATGGAGCTTCTCAGAATGCCAAAGATGGTAAAAAACGACTCGAAATGCTGAACCATGAGCAAAAGCCATGTGATGCAGGTGGCTCCATCTATCTGCTGTAACCTACATCATAATATAACAGTTAAAGATAAACTATAAAAGCTGTAAAGATGAACAATCATAAACACATGACATTATATGAATATTGTTGTGATAACTATAATATTTCAATTATATTTCATATTATGATGTTATAAAACTACCATGATTTCTATGATTATGAAACTGGATACATTAATAAATCACTAGAAAGTTATTCAGGGGCAATGCTAGTAGCATTGAGGGATATATTATCAGAAACAACAAATAATTGTTACCAACTTGAAGCTAAAATGTCATAACTAGTAATGATCTTTCTGCCAATGTATGCCAGCATGTAAACTCTCTAATGTTGTGTATTTGCACAAGATATTAGATTACTTATAGCTTATTACCTTTTACTGCCTGATATCACAATGGCCAAAACGCTTGCATACAATCCAACTAATACAGCCACTTTTTCTGGACCCACTGTGGGACCGAAGAAATCTTCTACCGGATTTAGGTTTTGCCACCAGGATACAAGTACGGATTCAGGAGACACTGTACCGACTCTGTGACAGACAGCTGACAGCAAAGATTTATACCTACAGGATGAATAAGAAAATGTTCGCATCATTAACTTGGAAATGAAATAGTTACGTCGCTACATGACTATATACAATACCAGTAAAGCACTAGTTGAACCCCTCCTCAGAAGTTAGTGCTTCCATGCCACTCCTAGCAAATTTACGAAGGCTATCAGCAGCTAGACTCCTAGCAATTACATACTAAAGCCCTAGCAGCAGTAGCACTGGGTATTCAATATACAGTCTCACTGCATCTAACTTAAATATAAATTTTTAGAACCATATAGAAAGAATCTTCAAAAACATCTGTGCAATTATACAGTTAAATTAACTTGTATGGCGTTCAGAGTTCTATCTGTTAGCTAGAGTAGACAGACCATGGACAGTAAGCCCTAGCTGGAACGTACCAAGGTTCTGACTGGCAGTTGAAGCGAACCAGGTAGCATGAGCAAGCTAATGTGATTAGTCTGAGAAGCATTATTAATGGCCTCCAACTCAGCAACACCTCCCAACACCTTGACTGGATCTGGTGTTATAAACCAAATAGTTGTTAGATGTATTGCATTAGGATAGGAAATAATGCAAAAAAATAAGGACATTTTCAAATATATTTGGATTTGATAATTAAGTTCAGCAATAAAGGTAGTAGTCACAGTTAATAAGGACCGGACCAATTCTTTAACTTGTGACATAATTATGACTTCAAATATAACAAAAGTACATCTTATTACATGTATTAACAAATTTGTGTTATAGAATAAATATTTGCTTTACAACAATGTGCTTTTTTACAAAGATAAGAAAAATTTTACTAGTTGAGGCAAGGTAGTTACACGTAATAAAATTTTCATCTTTCGGACCACAGCCTGTTTTACGTGTACCAGAAAACCGATTCCTATTGAAACAAGATCGATGACTGGAATACCGTTGCTATATTGCTCCTCGCGTTCAGCGCCGTCATGTGACTCTGACGTTGCTTCGGCCGCACGAACTCGCTCGCCTGCTTCGAGACGGTTAGTTGCGCATTCAGCGCTCGTGTCTGCCACCGAAGCTCCTGTCTGATGATCGCATCACAGGTGGCGCACAATGCGTACGCCTTCTCCAGGTTGCGCTCGTACTGCTCGATCTCGGCGTCGTACGTGTGCTGTCAACGCAGAGCACGCCACACAGTGTCACGTACATTCCGATCAGCAATTGACATTTCTCATCAATCTCGATCATTTCTCGTCTATCTTTTTACACCAGTGAATTACAGGAATAAGGTTAATCTTAGACTAGAGTGGCCGCGTGGAGTTATGCACCTCAGAGGCCTTGGTCCAAAATGCGAACAAACATGGATCATTGAAGAGCATGATTTATGGGTGAATATGAAGAAATACACAAATTTAGGTACACTCCAATAATAGAATTACTACTGCGTGTGTGATAGTCGGTCAGAGAGATACATTAAATTTACAAGGAACATTTAAAATTTCACAGCTATATTAATATTCACTTGTAAGTTGTAACAAGATGTTTAATGTTTGTCAAGGCTGGTAATGATAGGAAGATAGTATTGTAAACGTCATACTCTGTCAGGGTGGGAAAATAACGCGAGTCCGGAGTCAAATACTCCCTGATTTATTGTCGGACTCCCTGATCTAACATATGCAGGAGTCCGTGTGACTCCCTGAAAATTCTGCTATACTAACTAGTTCGTTCAGAGCACTGCCTCGTGGAATTACCATATTTGTTCAGCGAAAATTTCAAAGAAAATTTGGCAGACGTGCAACCGCATGAATCTTCAAAATAAGCACATGTATGCATTATTGTTATTATCTTTAGTTTTGAACTTCAGACTGCGGACTCCCTCATTTTGCTGTGGACTCCCTCTTTTTGAGGGCAGGGAGTCCATTGGACTACCTTGTTCACAAGTTAATTTCTACCACTGCTCGTTTGTATGGTACAAACCTTGTTTTCAATAACAATGAATAATAGAAGATAGCATTATAAATTATATCATACCTCATTGAACGGAACAAATGCTGACAGTTGCTTAACCTTCAACAGCTGGTTCTGACTGCAGGTCGCACACAAGCCAAGCTTCTTTTTAGTCAGTGGATCCCATCTACCTGATGAGTCATCCAACGCGTGTTGTGAAGCTGCTGCTCTCTTGTTCAACTCCTCGCAGTGTTGTTCGGGTATGAGACGGTTGTAGTCTCCCTCCTAAAACATCAAATGCAGTGACACAAACACGAGTACCTTCTGGTGCAAAACACATATATATTCAGCAATATACTACTTATACATATTCACTTTGTTTACTAGTAGAATAGGACTACATTGACACAACAGACATATGAGAAAGTGTTTCATTATATGTAAAAACATTACACATGCCATAAGTATATTTTATTATATATAGGTTCATTATGGTCAATGTTCAGACATTCGTATTGTTACAATCTTCTGATTCTTTGTGTATGTGTATTCGTGATCAGCGCTGGAGTGTTAAAAGTGACATACAGTCCTTATAACGATACGATTCGTGAGAAGAAATGAGAAGCTATTAATAAATTAAGTGACTTTTAAATTAAAAGACAGGTGGACATAACTTTGTCCTCGTAAAATAATCTCGTAAATATTAGTCTTCAAAGTCCAAGGGATTATCGAAAACTAACTATAAACAAAACTGAAACAAACAAACTTTATCTATAGACTATACTAAGAAGAGTGGAGGACAAACAAATAGTGATAATTTACAAACACCTGCGTGAAACCATTGTACTGCTCACAGATCGAGCAGGTAAAGCAATTCCTGTTGGAGTATGGCACGAACGAGTCATGATTGCAAAACCAGCAGTTCACCTTTACAGATAGTCTGGCCCTGCAAACAAAAATGCAATCGGTTATGGTACCTATCCCTATGGCTAGTATATGTACCAACGATGTCGGAGAGTAACACTAACCATAAACTGTTACTGCAACTACCGTCAGATACGCTAATAGGGTCTATGTCCCCCAGGGTACGTTCCGTAGGAACGTACCCTGGGTACGGTCCGGTATACCGGAACGTACCCTGGTACTAAATACTACTATCTAATATGCCGGACCGTACCTCGCCTACTCCACTAACGATTCTAGGGAGTCGCCTACGCCTACTCCCTAACCCTAACTCTAACCCTAACCATATCAGCTAGATAGTTACCAGGGTACGTTCCGGCAGTACCCTGGGGGACATAGACCCTATGAGCGTCAGATACAATAAACGTGAAGTGTACTACGACTAGTAATAGTACAATCAAACGTAACAATTAAGTGCCGCGGAGCGACAGCGCTCATCTAACGTCTACTGCGGTGACTCTGTGGTGGAGTGGTGGGATTCTAGTAAACCCTGTTAGTCCCAAATGTGTTCACATACGCGCCGAAACAGTGGAAGGCACAGGGATGGTATCAGGAACCTTCTCAAAGGAATGTTCGTTGGGATCGTTATGAAAGTTGCCACGAGATGGCGCGTATGTTTAAGTGTCTCAAGATTAAAGATGGAAGCTCCCATCGTAGGTAGTAGCAACAACTATTTGCAAGACAGAATAGGTAAGCACTCTTCCATTTACCTACGCAAGCCTACAGACTAAAATAGAGAGCTGCCACCTGTAATTAATTAACGCAGGCAAAAACTACACAGTACTATCACCACCACATGCACTGGCAGTGGCCACTGGCAGTGGCATAAGTTACATGTAAATTGTAACACACTGACAGTACAGAATGCCATAGAAATTATACGATTTAAGGAGCATAAACCTTCTTCAGCCAAATTTAGCTTTGAAATTTCACTGTGACATTGTAGCTCCATACATCCAGGCATGTATAGATTCTACTAGCAAACCGGCAGTCAAATTCTTTCTAAACAGTAAACAGATACTCCATGTTTAACCCTCTCTCTGAGGGGTCAAAAGGTTATCGACACTTACTCGTCGCATGTCAGCAGAAAAGTACATTTCAATGTCCTTTCAGTAAAGCCATAAAATGCTAGGTCACCGCTGAAACAAAAAAATTTTTTGATCGCTCGTCAGACCATGTCTCAGAAAATGTCTAAAATCTGGCCTTGCCACATTGACCTTTGACCTGTGACCTCCAATTTCGGCACAGTGATGGCTTTTCCTACCATCTTGTATCTTGTATCTTAGTACCCTCTCTTGTATTTCACAAGGCAACCGAATCAACCATAATACCATGATACTATACATACCATATATGAATATATATATATATATATATATATATATATGAATACCATGATGCTATACAATATACATACCATATATGAATATATATATATATATATAGTGATGGCTTTTCCTACATCTATAATCTTGTAATCTTGGTACCCCTCTTTGTATTCACAATGGCACCGAATCAACCATAATACCATGATACTATACATACCATATATGAATATATATATATATCATATATTATGAATACCATGATAGTATACACCAACTATCATGAGCCCTAGGTCGAGCGTTTGATTTTTGCTGCAATTCTGCATTTCCTCCCTGGTACCTTAAAGGCTCACAATGCGCATCCAAACGCTAATTTCTCCAGTACTAGACTAGCAAATACTTCGTGTCATGCAATAATCACACTACCTTATGACAAAATAAACTCTAGTTGCTCCGTTTCACTGCGCGTTTGCTTAAAACCCACAGAAAAGAGGTGAGAATACTGCATTCTGGCGCAAACCGACTGTTTCGCCAAAACAAAATAGCCTCCGAAGTGGGGACGTGACAGTCACATGTTTTTTATCTTGCTGCGCCCGCTAGCTGTCGCAGCCACCGCTGCAACGGTTGCTTGCGGGAGTCTGGGGAAACTGTCAACACATCGATGAATTTCAACAAAACATTTGGACGGTATTTCAAAAATACCTTTTATATAAGACAACGCGCAAGTGGAAATGTGGAGGAACTCCAGAGTTATTGTGCATAAGGTAGTAATGATATCCATGACACGAAGTATTGCTATCTAGTACTGGAGAAAATTAGCGTTTGGATGCGCATTGTGAGCCTTTAAGTTTAGGAGGGAATGCTTCCCGACCTTCTTTTTACACCTCTTTGACCTTTGACCGGCAGCTTCGACATCCCAACTCGGTTTTGGATGTAACCCCCACCAGCCCTCGAATTAAGCCGACGAGAGGCGCCATGGCAATTTTTTGGTGGGGCATCGTGAGAAATTGCCCTTGAATTTTCTCTAAAATGGATGGGCCACCGAGGGAATTTTAAAGCCCATCAAGGCAACTCTCAACAATATTTGGGAAGGGCCACCACAGGCCATTTGTTATGAAAAACTTGTGTCATCCGTATGAACTTCTAGCTAAATGTTGCCACTTGAGCAACGCTACACACCGTACAGATCACTGGCCATTCTTGCACGAGCGTCGTTTCCCGCTGCTTTAAATCGCGCGCGGCGAGTGCAGGCGTGCCAGCATTTAAATATTCGTGTTCTACCACGGGCATACACAGGCGCACGATGTTATCGATCGTCTAAACTGAGCGCGTTGGCAGCAATACCTTCGTTATTGTTTTTGCCAAAGGTAGACTGTGGGCTATCCGGCCTCACGCTGCTGCTAGGAACAATGCTACACGGCGGTCTGCGAACAACAGGCGGTCGCGGAATCGGACAGTCTATCCAGAGGCACCGACGCAATAAACAGAAAGGGCAAGACACAATCACTGCGTCGGCTCGGGCTTGGATTTTCAGGGGCAAGTACACGCGATTGATAGGAGCACCGCCGGCAATTGCCGTCGGTGCGTCGTTAATTCGAGCCCTGACCCGCCACAGCGTCCGAGTATCCGTGAACCGTACGTCGCGAGCCGGTTAAGATTGTGTCCCAACTGTTGACGCACGGACGAACGGCCGGACGGACGGAGCAATCATGGCGGATTCTAGACAAGCTGCATCTGACCTATGTCAGATGAACTAAAATCGGACTATACATAACTATTAATCAGTATTAAGTATTAAAGGCATAATTAAAAAAAAAAAAAAAAAACAAATACTAATAAAAAAAAACATAAATTTAAACAAAAAAAAAAATAATAATAAAAAAAAAAAATCGCCCATTCGATTATGCAATTTTAAACGAAATGCTAGAGTAACTGGCACCTGTGTAGTTTAATAAGTACATTACTTATAGCCAAACGCGTATTAGTTTGTCCAAAATGCACTGCTGGTTACTAAAAGATGTCGAATTGAAATCCGCAGTCACGAAATCAGAAGTTTGACTGACTTTGTTTACAGTTTCGAAACCGCATACTTCGGAAACAGGTGTGATACAGATTTATAAGTCGCAGCGCAGCATTTTCGCACGCATGCCAAAAAGGCCGCGCACGACACGCATGCATTTTCGCGTCGGCGTACGTCAATGCTAGCAGTAGTACAGACCGTTAAACTGTATACGTAACAGTAGCTCTGATTGTAATGAACGTGGAATCCACGTACGAATCACTGGACTGCTCGTGGATATTGAAGTAGGCTGTGTTGGGGGCCAACGCTATGCGAAGGATCGCGGACTAACCGCACGGCCACAGACTAAACATGGAAAGCAGACGAGGCACATGCGTAATTTAGCGTATATTGGTCAAACGAATACACCCTGTGTTTGAAATTGAAGACATGGTGGGTACCCGTTCATTAGCACCGACGGTTATTTACTTGTGCTCAATACGCAGAATACACCCAGAAGATATCATTCTACAAGCCTACTCATTAGTCGTATATTAAGCATCCCGGGACAAACAATCTCTGCTAAAGCACCCTTAGCAACATGTGGTGACGTTGTCCTAACCGAATCGAGGCTATTTTGCTTGGCAACGGAATTTACGTTGGCAGCCAGATTTACCAGATTTACGGATTTCAGATTATGACATTTTTAAGTAATTTAGCAGTGATATTGACCAACTAATACGCGTTTGACTATAGGTAATGTACTTATTAACAGTGGTTGTAGTCGAGGTCCGCACCCGCCCCCGAGTCGCGAGTCGAGTCCGAGTCCCAGCCACCCCGAGCTCCGAGTCGATCGAGTGCGTCGACGAGTTCCGAGTCCGACGCACCCGAGACCGAGTCCAAGACCGGTCGACGAGTCCGAGGTGAGTCGAGTCCAGTTTTGATAAAAAAAGGGGGCAAAGACCGACAAGGCCACTTCACTTTCTATGTATGTCATCAAGCCCCCCCCCCCCCCCCCCCCCATCATCATCATCTTCGCTTATAGCTCCCATCTTTTCTCCGTGCCTGGGTTGGACTTGCGATGATCCTCCTCCACGTCTCATGTCTTGCGTGATCCTTCATCTATTTCAAGTCCTTCAGATCTTCTGCACTGTTCCCTATCATGTTCTCTTTGGTCTTCCAACCGGTCTTTTTCAGGGAT